TTAATTGTAGTTAATTGGCTTTAAGACAAATTGCAACACTGATATTCAATTCAATGTTTATTTGATTTAAACAATTTGAAAAAAAAAAGAGTTGCCCTCCTGGATTTGAACTCCAGACCCCTCGGCCACGGTGAAGTTATATGTAAAATGCCTGAAAAAAACCATATTATTCTAAATTAGGGTTTGTACCCTTATTATTTCGACGCTAACTGTTGTTTAACACAGATGTTAATAATCATGGAGCTTATTATAAGCATGTATATCTATAAAGGATAAAACAATATTAGAAATCTTCGACTATTCGGGAATTATTTTGCTTGAAAATTAATGCGCCTGTCATTTGACCATCTTTACGCAGTGATCTCCCCTGAATTTTTTCGGCGTTAGTGTACATATAAAGGGAAGTAACCGCTTCAAAAAAGCGGCCTACTTTCGGCATTTGCAATTAACAGCATCAGACTCTGAAATTTCGCTACCATTATTTGTTTGGTCTGACGACCCAAACAAATAAAAATGAATGTTACGAATCAATATTCGGCTCATTACACAAATTATGGAAATTCCATTATGTTCTAAACATAGAATCAGCCTAAGTTATGAGGCCTCATATGGGGTACCGAAATTATCCATTATTTTGTATGAAGAGAAGTAGTTCCCGTATATAAAATATAACGCATTATAATTATACAATGTTGTTATGTCAGACCTATTTTACATTCTTAATTGTTAAAACGACCATTTTCCCAGTGATAGATACATGTTATTCAGGAAATAGATCGTAGACTAAACGCTGGTATCAATTACCGGGTACCGTTACCCCAACGCATTCGCATGCAATTGCGTGCTTGCATGCATGATACTTTACCATAGTTTAAGCCATAGAATTATTTCATTTGTAATAGGTCAAAATTAAGATAACTTAACAGGTTTTCATTCACATTGCCCACTTATCTGTATACTGGTGGTATAAGAGGAAAACCTTTTAATAGGCCTCATACGTAAATATTTTTGCGCATGCGCGTAAGGAGGAAATCCCCAACGTTTACAAGGTTACGTTTTGACAACACACAGGTGAAAAAGATTTCAAATAAAGATTTTTGTACGTATTGCCGAACTGACACTTAGATTTTGTCTCTTTCATACATCTACTTGATTTGATATGAATTTTTAAAGAATCCAAGTAAAAATCAAGCGTTTAAACGAAAAATACGGGTACTGCTTCTGTACGGGAACTGCTCGCATGCCAGTATACATATAAGGAAAATCAATGATTCCATGGGGCGGGGCAAATTTTGAGCCTAGGACTTTTATATGAACAAACTTGGTAGACACTCACAAGAAGATGTTTAATGCCAAAGCTCTAGCTCTTGGGTTTTTTTTAATGAGATATCTTATTTTTTTTTCTTTTGGTTAGCATGGCAACCAGAGTTCTCATTGGAATTAAATTCTTTGAACAATTTTAAAGGTGACCACCAAAGGAACATTCCTGTGAAGTTTGGATGAAATTGGCTTAGTGGTTTATGATGAGAAGACGTTTAAAGTAAAAGTTTTGGACGGACGAAAATCGATATCAAAAGCTCACCATGTCACTTTGTGACAGGTAAGCTAAAAGCGTTTCTAGCTTTAGATTTGTATCTATATTTATAATGATTTGCAGTATCGTCTTGTGTTGTGCACTGTTTTAATCATTCAGGCGGTTACTCTGAATTAAGAGTGTTTTTTTTTTCAGTGCTAAAAATTGACTTGATGTCAAAACATTTCCCATGTGTAACTTAAAAATCTAATACTTACATACTTTTTCATTTAATAATTAAAATCAAAACTCCAAACCCCAAGTTTTATAAAGCTCCAAATGTACAGAAATGTGAATGATAATTTTATTTTACTAACTGAAAAAGCGTTTTAGTCAACATAAACTTACATACACGTGTAATCTTCCATCAAGGGTTAAATACAAACCATGTTTCTGTAAAGAGGAAAAAACGATGAACGAATTTGATCACATAAATAGACATTTAATTGAAAATTTACGCAAATGAATATTTTATATTGAATTTATCAGCCTTACTCCCACTTACAATCGAAACTATTTATCTCTATATATTAAGATATATATTTAGTTGTTGTGCTTGTTTGTTGCTTTCACAAAATACAATGACACTGACGGAAAATCAAAGTATGCAAGAACACGTAAAGTTTTATAAAAAATGGACATGGAACATTTACAAAATTAAATTGGTCAAGAACCAGCCGGCCGTTCGACCAATTTAATGTGGTAAATGCTTACTTATAAACACTAACCAATTCAGTGTATAAAATTATTTTTATAAACAGCCGATTTACTAGACTGGTTAAAGATCGTGTATGTTATAATTAAGGTTGTTACCACACTAAAGTGAAATTTTATATATGTATGTATATAACTGTGCTTTTAAAACAATTTTCAAACATCAAAGAATAGGTAAAATATGTACAGCAAATATTTGTCCACATTATATGTATCATTAATATAAATGCATTCATTTCTTATTGAAAAATTTGACTTTATAGAAAATAATTTTAATTACCTTCCTTTATTTACATAAATTGTAAATTCGGTAATATTTTTACAAATAATGCTTTTTGGAACTTTTGGAACAATATTGATAAATCTTCATTTGAGCATTATATTTATGATATAATACCATAAAAAAGTTACAGGATCTTTAACAGTTTGCCGATTTAATAAAGCAAATGTGTTACGATTCATTTGAAATACTGCAATCCTATTGGACAAAAAATAATTCCAAACACTTAAAACTTCATAGTAAATGTTTCGAAAACTGTAAAAGACTTTTACAAATATTCATTATTGTTAAACAATGCAGCTTCTTCTTCCTAAAAAAATACTAAATTAAACACGTGTATCAATATTCAAACCTATTATTCTCTTGACTTGATTTTGAAACAAGAGTACCGCAAGCTCTGTTAGGACAAAAGTTCTTACTTAACAGGGGGCATAACTCCAAAAATGTTGCTTTCAGAATTACATCCATTGTCTTACAACCGCACCTGGTCAAGATCAGCTACATTTAAGTTTTGCACGACAACGGGCCGCAGCGATCGTAACAGCTCGACCGATATTGTTTTCAAGCATCATAGTTTATAGGGTTTTGTTGTGCGTGTCGACAACACCCTACACTTAAACTGGGTAACAAGAAATTAGGTAAACAAATGTTCCGTCGTCAAGCATTAAAAAGAACAAGTAAATCTCGTGCTAAATACATTAATATGTATCGTTGCTAACTTATCTAATCAGATACATCATAGGAATAGGCTAATGTTCATTCGATTAAACTTATTCTTTATCAATCTTTTCCTCATCCACTTTCATACCCAAAGCATCCTATTTGTAACGCTATTAAAATATATAAAATACTAGTACAACCATGGTACATCCGACATTTATTTTGTTTGTCCAAACATTTAGAAAACGTTCTTGGTTCATCAACAGCGACTGGGAATAGTAATATTGTTTCTAAACTAAATAATAATCAGTGTTCGTGTCAAGAAACTATCTGTTACTTCACGAAGAAATCCCTTATAAATTAGAAAAACAGGCCAATTGAGACTTCAACAAGTCATAATTAGTGGGAACATGCAAGCTGTTATTATTGATATAATGGAAATGTCGACAATTTCTATCTCGGTTTCATTCTACAAATATGAATTGACAACACTCTAGTAAAGTCACGAAATAATAGTTTCAAGCATGAATTCAATGTTTTCAATGTAGGCTGCTCTTATTTTACTCGACTATATAAAAAGTAGTAAATTTAGTATGAACACATACTTATTATAGCCCTTCTGCGAGAGAAAAAAAAACGTGAAATTAGAAAATAAGAATCCCTAATGAAAGCCCCAACACGGCAAAAATGAAAATGCTGCAGACTCGGTTTTATTGAGCCTGCAGATGGACGGTACTGTCAATTGCGAACTACTGTCAACGCCCCCCTAGCACCGGCTTAAGTTAACATGAACTGAATTTTGAAACATCCGCAGATGTGTTCATATGGCAGTTATCGGTGAACCTTGAATGTGACACGTAAGTGTCATTTGATGAAAAGCGGCATAGAGTCCCCAAGTAAAAAATGCATGTGCCCTAAACGAGAAAACAATGGGCGGAACTAAATAAAATGGAATTTTGAAAGGGTTATGAAGCTAAGACGTCAAAAGACAAATTTAAAAAGCAGGCTACATGTCCCAAGGGTTATTCAACAGTGTTCAAGCGAGGACTACTCGAACCACCAAACCTTGATGCGCGGAAGAACGCCAACGCCAAGAACTGAAAATTTATAAACTGATAAAAGTTAAATTGTAGGCCTACTGAAATATGGATACATATGTAACTTTATATTTCACATGTTTAATCCTTTGTACATTAATTTGCCCCCGACTCGTTATTTTATATTTATTAATATTATACGAGTATATGTCAAATACAAATTATTAGAATTAAAGTATGAAAAACGAGCAAATATTATTTAAATCATCGTTGATTTGTATTTTCACATCAAGATTTGTTGACGAGACAAAAAAAGCTAGTAAAAACCTTATCCCATTTAGATATTAGGGGAAATGCTTTTTTAAACCTTTTTTCTGGCCGAGTTTTGAAAATAATAAAAATTTTGTAAATCGTTTAAAAAATTTACCAAAAAATTGGGGAAATTTTTTTAAAATTTACTGTGAATCGATTTCCCCCCGACCATTTTTTTCGTCAACAGAAAACCCAAGAGCATTAATGAAATCTTAAAGACATTTTGGGCGGCTACAAGAGTTGTATAGTATCTGGAATGCAAGGATTTCCAGATCTGAGTGATACATAGCATTGAGAAAAATACTGAACGAAATCATTCGACTTGTTTTAAAAATGGGTTTGGAAAGGAGGGTTCTTCTTACACAGTCTCTATTGCATAGTAAATATTATTTTGATTCATGTATGCAAAAAGAATAGCTAATAATCCGGGTAATAAACATTGTTTACTAAATAATGAAAAGATACACAAAGATGAAGAAATAAAATACATTTGGTAGCAACTGATTTATTGCATTGGTTAAACATCAAAACTTTACATTTATTAAATACAATACTTCTTTTTCTTATGGATTATATCACAACTTCCTATGTCCTGATAAAAAAATATATTCACTGTAAATCCATTTTATATAAGCATTTACTTTCCAACAAGAAACAAGGAGCATATTTATTAAGTTTGAGTAAAACATCAAATTTCTAGTTTTTTTCTAGGAACCAATTTTCTTTATAAGAAACTTGACCCGAGGGCAGCTGAAAGCAATCCTAAATAAGCTTGTTATATTATAAGTTTGTTACAGTATCTCATTCCTTGTTCTTGTTATCATCCTGAAGACCGAGTCCCACAGACTAACGAGCTGACATCTATATACCCTTAAAACATTGTGAGATTATAGTAAGATTTGGATGCATATTGTTATTGTTATTCAGCAATCACCATATGTGTTCTCTAGATATAAAACCCACTCTAGTAATGTTGAGCTTTTGTCAGGAAGCTGAAAATATATAATAAGATATAAACTAACTATAGCCGTTAAAAATTGCTCATTTATAATTTAGTATATTGAAGATATTCAAATTTTAATCTAATGCAAAAAAGTTAATTAAATTTGTGTGCCATAGTTTCAAGCAAGGTCACTAGGACATCCAAAGTCTAAATAACAGTACTACATATAGTCTAGTCAATTTGTAACAAAATATGCTAAGATACTTCAGAAAATGGGAAAAGCATGAAACTTGGCAAAGATGTTAATAAAGGCAAAAGAAACATTTTGGGCATGGGACCCATTTTATATATGGCAAGATGGTTGCCATGGCAGCCATTTTTTCAAAATGGCCGCCATTACATGGAATTATCACCTTTCTTTTCCATTAGAGGCTATTTATACTTACAATTATACTGGAAATAACCCCAGTTTGCACTTAACATAAGAGATTTGCATTACTAATAATTGTAGATACTAGTTAACAATTATAATGCTATTAATTGTTTCTGTTTCTATGGTAACAAGTTACTGAAATTACAAAACAGTCTATTTCAGTACTTTGACATATTTTTTGATTATTTTCTCATATCCAATTTATTTTTTGTAATCCTTAGTAGACGATCATGTCAAATAACTATGATATATTATGCCTTAAAATGCTTTATGTGTAGATTGTGAACAATTTACCATATACGAAGTATTCAAATTGTAATGTCTGAATTTACATAATTTACAAACAGAATAGGATGTCTTAACATATTTCATTCCTGTAAATGCAAGGAAAGCTGGAAGTATTTATATTTCCTTCAGCTTAATCAACAATTTGTTGCTAGCACCAAATATTACCTAAATTCCATGTTAAACAAATCTTATGATACTATGAAAATGAAAGAACAAAAGCGTATGTATCAAAGGTACTATGTAGTGCCGGAAAGGTCGGATTGACCCTCATTAGGCATAGAATACACACACGGTCCTGTAGGCATTGAGTTCTCAGATCTATTAAATGTAACACCACTTTCATGTTGGATTATTCATAATTCAATTTTAGAGTGATTGAAACCTTAAAGATATAACCCAAATATTTATTTTCATGTCTTTAAAGGGAGACACAGGCAACATTTTCATATCCTCGTTTGTTTTGAATTTTTCATTCATTAATCTGTAAATCCTCAAAATATATACATTTTACAGTCATCGGTGATTCTGTCGGTGGCTAAATTTTGTTTATATTTAAGCTTCAAACTCAAAATAAATAGAATTGATACCGAAATTCATGCTTGGACTTTTACAAATGTCATTTTAGCGTGATTTGAGTACATAAGATAATTTTGGTATTGTCATTAATTTGCCTACGTATTCCTTAATTTTTTTTTAAAATTTCATCATTTACGTTCAATATTAAATCTTAGTTACGAAGATATTTAAAGAGTGTGTAGTTTTGCACTTTGCAAGCTCTATGCATATTGAAATTCTATGGGTGATGCTGAGTGTCCTATTTCATGTATTATAATGGTATCAAGTATCTCTCTAGTTGAAGGAAGTCTATCTGAGGTAAGACTTTATCTGAAGTTTATGTTAAACATAGTCCTGAAAGGATTGACAGCCCTACACTTGATAACAATAACAACCGTGACTTAACATGCTTAATCAATCACAGGAATCTCTAACTATGAATACAACAGAGACCAACGTTCATGATATGCAGTCCTGAAAACGTTAAGTCACATGAATTTGTTAATCAGGTTTCAACGAAAACCGGTAATTGTTATGCCAAAGTTGGCAGGCGTGCAGGTGAGCGGACGTCAACTTTTGGATTTCAGCTTGAGTTTGTTTTTGCCTATAGACACTAAACTTTGTGTATGTGGATAGCTTATATCAAGAGGCAGCTTGGGATTGCTCCCCAGGTGTTAGTGATTAACGTCACTGCTGCTAAAAATAGAAATTCAGTTTTCGCTCAATAGCTCGCGTTTGCTTTGGCCTGTTGACAACAAACTTGGTGTATGGGTAGCTTTTAAAAGGCATCTTGGGGTTGCTACCTTGGTGTCAATGATTAAGGTCACTGTTACACAAAAGTAGAAATTCAGTTTCCGCTAAATCACTTGAGTTTGCTTCGGCCTATTGACATCAAATTTAGTATGTGGGTAGCTTATATCAAGATGCAACTTTGTATTGCTACCAAGGTGTGTGTGCCCATGATCAAGATCACTGTCGCTTAAAATAGAAACTCAGTTTTCACATAATAATTTGAGTTTGCTTTCACTTATTGACTCTAAACTTGCTGTGTGGGTAGCTTATATTACGATGCAGCTTTGGATTGCTTTTTAGATATCTGGAAGCTATGTCACTTTTTTGTTTTATTTTAGAACAAAATTACAAAACTGGGATTGGTAGCAAAGAGCCTTAGTTAGGATATTTGTTCTTTGTCTTTGTAAAGTTGCTCTTTGGGATTTCTAGCTGCAAACAAGATAACCATTATGTTTATCCTATTTGAGCTTCGAAACTGAACCAAATCTCAACCATCATACACATTCTATGGAATTGTTCGTAATTACGTCTAATATCATAAAAAGAATCAGATCAAATCTGTCACAAAGGAACAAAACCTGCTTTTATAGCCTATTTTGGAATTTACGTTCTTGATCTTGATGATGAAAATCATTATGCTTTATTCTTTACTCTTGTCTTGTTTAAGCATGTCAACTGAAATTTGGAATTTGTTGTCAAGTCTAGAAACTGCTGAGCTATAACACCCAGCACAAAATACTGACCGAGACTCTAAATAATAACAAACAACACATTTATCACAGCTGTCAGCATTAAGAGAGAAATACCCTAGGTACTAGAGTATCTGATGTTTTATGGGCAGCAAGGTGTATTTATATTATTTTTAATGTCCCATTCGTTCTGAACCTTAGACTTGGTGACGTATCTTGAATCTTACAAACATTTGAGGCCTTCAGCCAAGATATGGCAAATTATCTAGCACGTTTGTCCATAATATTTTCCTTGATCTGATTATAGCGAGGAAATGCCGAGTCTTCATATAAAGGGCTGTTGACTTTGTAATGAACATGCCTTTTGGAACTGTGTATAAAAATACATGTATGAGATAACATGATTGCAAACGGAGGCCAAAAAGCATGAAACCCAGCAACTAAATGTAATATTTTGTGGCACAGGGCACTTTTAGGGACACCAAAATGGAATAAAGGCATATAATTGGGGTTGGTGGTGGCATTAAAGAATGTAAAGGGGTATTATATCAATTTTTGATACATCCCGAAGGTAAAAAAGGTTGATGTTATTTACAATAATGAGTTAGTGTAACTTCTAACTAGATTAGTCTTGGAACTTGGTGTCAAGTTAGCAGTTAATCAATCGAAAACCAATGTGTAGTGTTTAAAAGCAGTTATTTTATCAAAGGTGTGTCAAAATCTGAGTCTGTAAACTGCAAATTTCTACAAAATTATCGTTCCATTTTAATACAACAATTTAAATGCCAGGTTTTCGTTTTTTTTTCTTTTACATATTCTAAAAAATGCACTTTTATAAAGTTTCATATTTTTATGATATGACAATTCAAATACCAAATGACTGTTAAAATTTGACACATGTTAGCTTATAATTCTATTATTCACACCTTCTTTGTTTAATACCTTTCACAGCTATCAACAAGATAAAATTGCAAGGCGTACACCTGACTTGATGGGCAGATATTTAATTTCCGTTTGCTTGAGTTATGCTAGAATTTTTAAATACTTTTCTTTAATCTGTTTGATAAGTATTTCCTTGTGATAAATTAACATTGTAAACAAAAAGCAATGTTGTAAAAAATGATGTCTTAACATCTTTAGAAGAAAGCGATGACAGACCTCTACAATGTTTTATTTCATCGGATTTCCAGGGTCGTGAAAACTAATGACAAACAGAAATAATAAAATATGTTAAGTGTAATAGCTTTAAAAAGACAAAGCAATGTTTAAATACTAATAACAACCATTTTTCTGGTTACAATACCCTAATATGCAGCTATCTATTAAGTTCTCTTAGTAAAAAAACAAGCTTTTTTGAAATTTTTAGGTCAGGGTATCGTATTGTAACACGGCCAGTGATTGGCTGAAAAAAAGTGCAGGGAAAACCGTATGATTCAGTTTATACATGAGGCGATTGGATGAAAGTGGGGTGTTTTTAAGTATAAAAACTAATTTAAAAAGTAACACTACAATGTTTTCTGAAGAAAATGAAATATTTCATGAGTCTCTGTGATAATTTTGACTTGGATATTTGCATTTATAAAAAGTGTATGTCAGTCCTGTGATCAGCAGAAAATTTCAATGAAATGGGGGGTAATCCTCTTTGAAGTCAATTTGCAAAAAAATTGGTCGGCTACCCCTATATAACAGAAACATTTTTATGTGTCAGGCATTTCATTCTGCTAGAAAAAATACCTCTTTAGCATGAAAACTGAATTTTAAGGTAGGATAAGGGACCATTTCTTATAATGTAAGTCTATGGAAATATCAATGTGAGTGTCTGACCTAAAGAGAGGGAAATTGGAACTGTCATAATTCACAGTACAAACTTGGCCTTCATTGATTACACCATGAAAAGCTGATATTTTGGAAGAATGGATGTATACAGCCTGTCTAGGTATGATATTTCATTATTTCAGTGCAACTGTTGGTGTTTACAGCAGATAATGTGTCAAAGGGGTCAATCTACAAGCATTGTTTACATATGAACAAGAGTATTAGTGTTACATAAGAGTTAATAATGGTTTATATTTTCTTTGAACAGTGAATTTGAGTGATAATCAATTGGTGATATGTTGATGATGAATAATGTAGACCTTGGTCATTAAAAATATTTTTCAGATTTCAAAGAAATGCTGTACATTGGCTATACACATGCCAGGTTTGAAGACTTCATGTATAACTTGACAGGACCTGATGTAAGCACATTGGCCACTTTTGATGGGTGTTGCAGGTATATCATTACAAATGCATATTGTCAGGTTCAAAACTGATATATAATTAAAAAAGTTTAGGGTGCTGTTTCGATTAACTTTTCGACTTTATTTAGGGGCGGAAATTTCTTCGCTCGGCACTAATTTTTACCATTTTGCTCAAATATTTAAATAGAATGTCACAAATAAATTGCTTCTTTGTCTGTTTCCTATATAAGAATGTTTTGTGTTTCATTTCCAGGCATAGATAGCATTAAAGCTTCAAATAAATATCATTTTAAGGCTTCTGTCTTAAAATTTACTTGGTTTCAGGGCATGAATATCAACACATACTTAGAAATTCAAATCCATTGAAAAATGTAGCATAATTCAGTTAGGTTGCCTCTGAATAGCCTCTTATTATGTGGTTAAGATGCAAAATAGTGATAAGAATTTATTGTTTTCTATTTGGTAATACATATTTACACACTCGCAATTGTATAATGCCATAGTTTTAAGACATTATGTCTGTTTAATGCATAATTGAATGTGCATCATAATGGCCAAGGGTAGAATTATTTTGTAGAAAAGTTTTATTGATAAGTAAAAGTTGATCTACTTTTTCACAATCATATCAGGCACAATTATAACACAGCTTTAGTGTCTGTGATGTGTCTATAAACAGAAAAAGCACTTATTCTGGTAGATAAATGTATAAAAAGGGTGTGATTATGCACAACTTTAGTGAATTACCTCCCTTTATTTATTGAGAAACTTAGATAAGTGCATAAATTCTAGTTTCTGGCTACCTAAATGAGAAAAAAATACACATTACTGTCCATTCCAAGTACATTTTGGTCTGAAGAGGTGATTTACATGTTAAAACACCTGAAAGAAGGTTTCAATTGTCATATTTGACTCCAAATGAATGCAAAAATGACCAAAAAATGGGTGTAGAAGTCAAATATTAGGCTTTTACTGTGCTGTTAAATCCAGAGGAACTTGGTTTTTCCATATATTGCATTTCTTTATATCCATGTAAGAGAGAGAGACAAAAAATATAAAAAGAATTTTGGCATTTTATTGACATTAAGGCTTGTATTTAAGACTATATATGCAAATATTTGGAGTAGAAAACTATAGCAGGGCAGTTTTGAAATACCTAGTTACACCCAAAATGTTGCTATGTGTGTACAAATAATGTGTAATCCATAATCAGGTCATTATACAGTAGTTATTAAGTATGTTTGCTAAGCTAAATCTTCATTCAGGAAGTCTATTGGTAATAAAATGTTGAAATTTGGGTGAAAAATCACTTATTTTGATATGGGTGGGGTGATAAAATTGCTCCCTGCTGCATCCTTTTGTTACAGTAATGAGAACAGTGTAGTTTTGCTATCTGTGTGATTTTATGGAAGTTGTTACAAAATTGGCTTCAGAATAATGAGTTAAGTATAAAAATCACATGCTAAAATTCATTTTCAGAATATCCGGAATGCGGCATAACGGCGCTTGTTGCAAAAAAGGGAACTTCAAAGTTTTAAATGACTTAAGAGTGGTGAAAATGCATCCACATTATTGGTAATTGTATATGCAACTTCATTTATTATTAGATTTTAGAATACTAAACATTTAATATTCCCTTTAGGTCAGGGTATCGTATTGTAACACGGCCAGTGATTGGCTGAAAAAAAGTGCAGGGAAAACCGTATGATTCAGTTTATACATGAGGCGATTGGATGAAAGTGGGGTGTTTTTTTTAAGGGACCATTTCTTATAATGTAAGTCTATGGAAATATCAATGTGAGTGTCTGACCTTTAACACGTATGGCGGCCATTTTGGATTTTTCCCGCCATATTGGATTTTCAAAGATGGGTCCCATGCTCATTTTTTCTTATATATATGAAAGTTCATTTGTACCAAGTTTGGTGCTTTTCCCATTTTCTGAAGTATTTTTTCACAAATTGACTGGACTAATACCTGCGTTTGAGGTTTTATAACTAAAATAAACAAATACACATAAGGGGAATAACTCTTCCAATAATGAGTTGATTGCAGGAACAGTTAAATATAACTTGTATTTTGATATAATATACTTACTAGTTATATGCTAAATATAAATAATCACCCAAAACCTACAAAAGTAATCCTCCTTAAAAGGGGCATAACTTTATCATTAATGATTAAGTGCTGCCAAAATTAAATTTAACCAGTGTTTTGACACATGCCAAATATAAACAAAATCACTTATATCCTTCAAAAGTTATCATGCAGAAACTAACTGCAGACAAACAGATGGAAAATTCCATACAAAAGTTGGCGGACTCCACTATTCTAGGTGCTTGTTAGTAAAACAAAAGTCTGGCATTAATTATACAAAATGATATCATTTAATAAAAAGCCATGTTTACTGAAGTTTTTAAGTGGTAACATACCTTCAGCAAATTGGAAGATAAATAGGAAGTTCACAAAGGGATATAATTCAATCAAAATGGAAGTAAAGTTATTGGTCTTGAATGGTGATCTACCATTATAATGTGAACATTAAAATGAATTATACCTTTATATGTGTTGATCGAGATTGCCAAGTTTCAACAACACAAGGGAGAGTAGTCTCACTATCTTTAAAAAGTCTAGCAAAATCTGATGGGTTTTTTTACTCACCTTTTCAGTATCCACATCGTCTAAACCATAATAGTCAAGCAGAGTAATCTCCCTTGTTGATGGGTAATCTTTAGGTACATGTAATGTAAACATTATTTTACCACACTTGCCAACCAGGACTCTCAATCTGCATTGTTCTTGTATCCAATCTATTGCATGACTGAAACATTATGATACATTACAAAGTCTCACTAGGTCAAATATAATAAAGGTATTAATTAGTTTAAATAAAGTGCAGGTGCAATATGACATTGGCACATGCCCTAACAGAGCAGGATTTACATCGATCAAAAACTGATATCAACATTATGAAGTTAGATCATGTTTCTTGCCAAATATATCAGCTCTAACCCATGTGCTTTCAGGAGTTTTTTAAGTTTTAATATATACGAAAAAACCCATACCTCGTGGAAGGGCAAATTTTGATGCAAGGGTTAGATGCTAGAGTCATGATTTGAACGATCTTGGTCAAGATCCATTAGATGACCGTTTCATGCCATATATCTGAGCTCTAGCCCTTAGACTTTCAGAGTCAGGATTTTATTAAATTTACTGTATAAGGAAAACTTATGACCCACTTTGTCAAGGCCAATTTTGACCCTAGGGATATAATTAGAGAATTTTGGTAGAGAAACTCTAGTTGACGTTCACTTACAAATATTCTTGGCCGTTTACTCCCAGACATAAAATTTTTTGAAATGTGCATATTCAAAACCCCTCTTTTGCCCTGTGTAAACAGGAACCATTATATCATTCCTTTGTACTTTGAATCATACGCTGGTTTCTGAGGGGATGTTGTTTAAAGAAATTGTTGATGACAAACAATTCTTGATAACTTGATGTTGTGCTCATAGAGCTAAATAAGCATATCTGTACAATAAATTTCTTATTATATAAATGTGTTGTATCCGACTAACTTTTTATTAAGAATGTCCATTTCTGAGAGCAATGGGAAATGTTGATTCCATCTGTTCTGTACTGACAACACCAAATAAGGTACATCATTCATAGCAATAGCTGTGTCAACTATATCACTGATTTCAAAATGATCAACATTGATCTGAAATTCAAATACTGTATAAGTGGATATTTATGCGTCACAAAAATTCTGCGAATGTCCAAAAATGGACTTTTTGCGTGCGGAAATATTTGCGAAAATATAATTTCTTGAATTTAATATCATTAATTAAGCAGGAACATATTAAGTATATGCCGTTATTGTAAACGTTCTATTCAGTTAATTAATACCTTTATTATCTACATAATTGTTTGAAATATACATTGTTAGTTTGATAAAGGAGCTGATCACACATTTCTTTGTCATATTATGAAACATTGTTTTTTTATATGAATAACCTATTGTGTTATTAACACATTTCATTAAAAAATTTGTGAGCAATGAGAAAAATTAATCTCAGTTCCTGAGCAGTCAAACTTATTCATGTAAGATGCTGTAGGAAAATGTGTTTTCAAATGATAGAAGAAAGTTTGCCTAAAAAGAAATCATTTTTGCGTGATCAAATATTTGTGAATAATTTCAATCGCGAATATTTCCTTGTTGCAAAATTTACCACTTATACAGTTATATAAACAACATTTCATGCTTATATAAAGTACATGTAGTTAAAGATCCTATATGTTGAAATTAAGGATGTTACATACAGTAAAATAAATTAAATACATATGTATCAGTTTCCTTCCAACTCAAATTATAAACATCCTAGAACTTGTTTAATTTATACAACAAATGTTAATAAATAATAATGTTAATATTTTTATTTATATTATTAATTAGCTTTAAAAAATAATACATAATTATATTTTTTCATTATTTACATTAACTATTTAACTTTGTCATAGCTTAGTAAGATAATTATGCTTTTTATAAGTTATGATAATTGATAATTCTTCATTTGAGCACAAGGTCTGTCATAAAAGACCATAACATTTTAAGGGGACTTTAACCCCTCACCTGCAGAATTTGTGTGACAGATTTGACCATTAAACTATATGAATTGAACTATCAGAGGACATACAGATTGACCTGGCTCTACACCAGTGTATTTACTAAGTTTTGTTGAACCATTCACACATTTTGTCTATATTAATTGATGAGCTATCAATAGAATCAAAATAATTACTCCTTATCTCTTCTCTGAAATTAGAAAGTTGCAAACAACTTGATTTGTGATATTAATAGCTTAAAGTGAAAAAATAACATAAATAAATTACAGAAAGTGTCTTTGATTTTTCAAATTATAATAAACTTACCTTTACATCACACAATCTTACATCTTCACATGTGGTATTGAAGGTCAAGGTTATCTCAAGGTTAAGAGAATCCTCTGGTGAGGTCAGACGGGTCAACTCCGAGTTATTTTGGTTAAAAACTAGAGTTAGTTGTTTTTGTCCACTGACATGAACTGTAAGTCCATTAACTTCTTCTAGAAAACTTACAATATTTCTCAATCTAACAAAAGAACATAAAATATTCCATTAAAAACAAAACAATTATAATCAACCCCTTATATTGTTATATATATATATGCTATTGCCACAAGATAGCCCTGTAATCAGGTTTCAATAAAAGCACACAAGGAAGTCTTATAATTAAAAGTCTATCACTCAAAATTGTAATCCGTTTTTTCTCTTTTTCTGTTTTGTTTTTTTTAATGCCAATTTTACATGTTTTGGCCATATCTCGCTAGTCTATCCACCTACAGGCTTTCCTTGATAACTTACCAGTCATTAACCAATTTCTCTACAAATTATCAACTACTAATCCTACATGATTTCTAAATCACAGTGAGAGACAAATGATCATCATTATTTGTAAAAATACAACTATGGTTGCTTGCCTACATGCTCAACAATTTCTATCAAACATCAGGTAAAGATCTCGGACACAATAGTATGAACTAACACAAAATGGATAGATTACTTCAGTCTAACCTATGCTACAAAATTTAAACATGTAAACAAACGATAAGTCAATACTGGGATTTGTTGACTTTACTTTTTTTTTCATTTTATTGAGTAAAAGTCAAATTAAGTAAATTTATAGGTATAATATAAGACAAGCTTGCAGAGGTAAATGGGTAAAAGCCACCCTTCCAAAATTAATTGGGTATTCAAATTTTCAAATGAGTTTTAAGTTTATTAATGCAATTTTTACCCAATGTTTCAAAATTTAATTGGATTCTTAATAGCTTGCATGATTGTCGTCGTAATTACTACAAGAATTTGTATCATAGTTACCAACATTCCCCATCTAAGGGAAGTTTTACATAAAGCACAACATTGTGCTATTTCAAAAGATTTTGGTACAGATCTGGACTTTTAGTTGCTTGCCAAGTAGTTTCAAAATCCTTTGATCTATGAAAAAGTTATTGACCGGACACAAAATATACCCTGTAACAGACCATGTAAAGCTTTTACCTCCGAGTATGGCCTTGACCTTGGAGGTAGGCATTAGGGTGTTGCTCATGACTTTTTGTCTTGTTATTGTGAACATTTGTGCCAAGTATTCTCAAAATCCTTGTTAGATGAGAAAGTTCTGGACCAGACACAACAAATACCTTCCAACAGAAAATGTTGACCTTTAATTACCAAGTGTGACCTTGAACTTGTAGGTAGGGGTATAGATTCAAGCATGGCACATCGTCTTATTATAATTATCATTTGTGCCAAGCTATTTCAAATTTCTTTGATGAATGGCTTATTTATGGACCGGACATTAAAGTGAGACAGACAGCCAGACAAAGCCCATTTCTATATCCCCCTTTTTTCTTCTAAAAGGCAGGGAACAATAACCCACACATTAGTCAAATTTTCAGTTTTTGTTTGCCATTGTTCAAATTTTGCATGTCAGTCTGATAGTAAATTCTTCTTCATTAACTGGAGCTATTAACCAAGGGAACTGTATCATTAACAAGATCAGTAACAATACCAAATTAGATGTGACACCATTGATTTTTTCTTTGTCAAAAATTTTCATATATTTTAACTGGGACATGAATAACATATTACTTCCCAAGTTTAATCACCTACAAATGTATGATGTTTTAAATATATGATGTCAAACAGGCATGCTATATATTGATACTATCAACTGAATTACTGCACTGAACTTTCACCTGACACAGATCAATGTTAAATAAATTTATGCTGCTCATTTCATAAAGTTTAAACTGGTTAAATTTTCAAGAATGACTAACATCTCTCTGGCCCATTTGCATTAGCGTAAGACCAGTCCACACCCCAATAATAATGTACTGGGTAATTCATTTATACAATTGAGTTGTTGTTTCCTAAGATTTTAATTTATTTGAGGATTGGGATGATATTTACATAAACACATAGCTTATCAGGAGGTCTAGATATAAAATACTACATTATATACTTCCAGTCATCATTATCTCCAAGATGATTATAAATAGTCAGCAAGGTGTTCAATATGAAATGCTCATTAAGGTCCATCTAGTATCTCCCATACTATAAACAAGTTTACCTCTCTATTTTCTTGTCATCACAGTTGTTACTCCTGGTGTAAGTTTTACCATCTAACATAGTTTTTAATCTACATATTTCTTGCTCTCTGTTTTCTATCTCCACCTTAAGCTTTGCTACTTCCTCTTCTATAGTTCCAATGGCATGTTTACACTTTGATATTGCAGTTTCTGTCAAACTAGGGTCAAGCTGCCTACGACTCTCACATGATTTTTTCTATGAACATAAGATGGTCATGATAACAAATTAATCATGTTTATACAAGAAGGCTGTAACCACTTTAATCTGATGATATGGAGAAATAATAGTATAATGGAGAAAAGATATAATACCTTTTTGTTTTATAAAAAATATAATGATTTGGACAGATAATAAGTAAGAATATGTTTATATTCATAGAAACATTGACATAAACATAAGCAAGTTCTGTGTACAAGCTTACCTTTTCCTCAAATAGCTCTTGTTTGTTTTCCAGCGTCTTAACTTTTCCCAGTAACAAGTTGTGCTCTGATAAATATGTCAAAAGAAAATCATTTAACAGTTTGAGAATTTATTCCAAACTAAGTGATCTATTTAATATGTTTTGTTATATAAAACACATCACATTTAAGATTTTGATCAAATTTAAACCATTTAATGAAGGTCTATACCAATAACTTGTGTACACAATATCAGACCATTTGCTCACTTGGGTGTTTTTTTTTCCTGAAAAATCTTTTTTCATTGTCAAAATGATAAATGAAAATCGAAAGGCTTTTAAATGCTTTTAATTCAAATTGGGCTAAGACTCACACTGCATATCAATTTTTAGTTTAATTCTATGTATATTTCTTTATATTAAGTTGATCTATGTAAGATTTTCATTAGATTTTTGCACCTCAGTGAAGCTCATTTGAAACACCAAACTCATACAATATACTTCTTTGTTAGTGTTACACATTTCTCTTTAACACAATCAGATTCCATAAATCTTATACATAGATAACAAGAATTAATGTTTATTATAAAAACTGCATGTAGGATAGTTTACTGAATATACAGAATTTGTTTCAGTTTGATCATGTCCATTGTAGGATGCTATAAGCTCATAAACAAACCTAGAACCAACCTGTACTGAGCGTAACATTTTAAAGAGAAAAAAGGCTTCCTCCTCACAAATATGAACTCGCAAGGCTAGCAATCCTTAGATTACTAGACTGACATGTTAATCAATCGGCCATTCTGCTACATTTAAAACTGATTTATTATATATACATGTTACCTTCAGTTACTTTCTCCAGGATGTTATACACTTTGTCTTTCTCTTCATCCAGTCTGTCTTTCACCTTTAACCATTCCTCACGACTTGCCTTCAACCTTTCTCCTAATAAATTACTAGAGGTATCACTGATGATGATTAACAACCCAGCATAGTGCTTTGACACAGAAACACAGATAATTTTAATTCAATCTTGTATGACAGATTAAATATCAAATATATCTGACAGTAAAACATATATAAAGTTTGTAAGACCCTGATGATATACACATTATACCATAGAAAAAAATTAATAAAACAAAAGATATCCACACAAACTGATTACTTGTGGAGAATATGTAGAAAACTCATGCAACAAATTTACTTAAAAGTGAAAAGGAAGAGTGCAAAGCTTAAGTTCAGTTGAGTAGTTATATAATCACAATGGCCAGTAGGTTCGACTTGTACAAAGCATTTGAATGACAATCCATGCAGCAATAATAAATGGAATTTATTTCCATTTAACAGAAAGAGAAAGATAGAAATATGTTGAATTATAATGAGCAGAGTTCTAAATAATTTTCATGAGTTTTTTGGTGTGACATCTGACATCATGAGTTATCATTTCTCATTCTGTGCATTATCTTATAATTATACCCTCAATTGCTCCATCACTGTATATACATGTTGTAAGGAAATGAAGCATTTTAGAATGAAGATTTAACCAACTATATCATAAATCTATATAAACTAAAGATAACATGATTTGAAATATATTACCAGTTTTTTCAACACTTGGCCATGTGTTCCTTTCCTTTCCCAGGTACTCCAGATATAATCGCTTTTTTTCTTGATAAAAAAATGAGTTTTTCAGATCTTTTTTCTCCTGAAACAACAAGTTCTATTTTACTAGTATTGCATGGTTATAAATGTATAGTATTGGAAGTTTTTGTAATACGCGCTAAACTTACAGTCTGGTATGCTGACAACATTCAAAATATTAGCATAAAATAACTATATGGAGAAACTGCGGAAATATTGATGTGATTTTTTACATATGCAAAACAAGGCCATGCTGCCAACACAACAGTAAAATGTATTGTTCTGGTATTTCTACATCAGCATATCAATCTTGTTCTTCGGCAAAGAACAGCCTTACAATATGCACATTATGAAGATTATTATGAGATACGCAATAAAAATAAACTATTTCTGCCTAAAGACCTTGACTCAAATGACCTCTAATTCCAAGTCTTTAACATTATAATTAATAGCCAAAAAAAATTATTTTGAGTATAGTAAATAGCTAAGCCTCTTAGTATTTAACTTGCTACCAGTACTTGATTTGACAGTATTACTCTACCTGTTGAAGAAGCTGGTTCTCCTTACTGATCTCTAGTAGATGTTGTATATTGCTGATATGTCCCGCCTTCACATCCTCTACTATACTGAACAAATAATATAACCATTATTTTATCAACACTTAAACAACAAGCTATGTAAACTGATTGTATGTGACTTATTAATATCATTCTGAAAATTCAGTAAATTGCTAAATCATCAAAACAGCAAGAACATATTTGTTATTAACACAAATGTCCCCGGCCTAGATTCATGTCAGTAACAATTTTTCAAACAAGAGCTGTCACAGGAGACAGCGAAGCTGGACTAACAAAATACTGGACGCAGTAAGGAAGACAAAACTATGAAAGAAAAATCAATTATGTGTAATTATGTATTAAGTTATAGTAAAACAAGGGTGCCATAGTCACAAAATACGCCCGTTTACGAAAAAGCTTTAGATGGAGATGGGGGCATTATGGATAAGTGTTATCTAGCAAGCAAGTTTTTATTCTTGGCACTGTGTTGTTAAATGAACCTTAAAACAAATCAATAGGGAAGATATGCACAGAATGTGTGACCTTGACCTTGGTTGCAGGGACCTGAATTTTATGCACGGCACTCAGCCTCACAATGATGAACATTTGTGCCAAATTATATTGAAATCCCTCTATGCATGTAGAAGTTTTGCTCCAGACAAGTGTTTTTCTATGAGCTCTAACTCTGACCTTCACCTTTGACCTTGAGACTTGGTTTATGTGCAGGGCACTACGTCTCATGGTGGTGAACAATTCTATAAAAGTAACATTAAAATTCCTCCATGCATGTAGAAAATATGCTCCGGACAACATCTGGATATTTAATCATCTCCAGTGACCTTGACCTTGCAAATATTAACCTAAATTAAATATGTAACACCTGTAGTCATGATAGTTACCATTTGTGCTACAATCCATCAATAAATGATGACTCAATGGTCCCTATAACCATCTTCAAATTTTTATCTGAACTTTGACCTCTAAGTGTAACCTTGACTTTGGTCGCAGGGATCTGAATTTGCATGCGACACTCAGCCTCACAATGGTGAACATTTGTGCCAAGTTATATTGAAAACCCCTATGAATGTAGAAGTTTTGCTCCGGACAAGCGTTTTTCAATGAGCTCTAAGTGTGACCTTGACCTTTGACCTGGAGACTTGGATCATGCATGGAGCAATACATATCATGGTGGTGAACATTTCCATAAAGTATTATAAAAATTCTTCCATACATGTATGAGATATGCTCCAGACAAAATCTGGATATTTCACCATCTTTAGTGACCTTGACCTTGCATATATTGACCTAAAGTACATGTGTCACAGCCGTAGTCATTATAATGACCATTTGTGTTACAATCCCTCAATAAATGATGATTAAATCGTCCCTATACACATCTTCATATTTTTTATCTTTTTTTAAACGGGCGTATAAAAGTACATGTAATTTAATAACTAAAAAATTCTGATTTAAGATTTTATTCTAGGGAAATACATTTCATTACAATTCTTAATCTTTGAATGAGCTGAACTGATATTTACTTGAAAATTAAAATATAATTAAATTTCTATGAGAAAGTATTTACATTTGATAAGGTAATTACTGTATGATCTTTATGAACAAATACCAAGTCTACAGAACACCATAGTTATCACAGTTAAGAATCTTGACCAATGAATGAAACATGTGTAAATAAATGTTACATTCTTTACAACATACTCAAGTCCAAGAAAGAGGATTATTTCATGCCCTTTGATTAAATTCTATTTTTAGATCAAGGGGAGTAATTGTGTAAGTCATTTATGAACAAAGTAATAACTTTGTTGTCTCCCTTTGATTAAATTCTATTTACAAAATCTGGATATTTCATCATCTTTAGTGACCTTGACCTTGTATATATTGACCTAAATTATATGTATCACAGCCATAGTCTTGATAATGACCATTTGTGTTACAATCCCTCAATTAATGATGACTAAATGGTCCATATACACATCTTCATATTTTTTATCTGAACTTTGACCTCTATGTGTGACCTTGACCTTGGCCGCAAGGACCTGAATCTTGCACGCGACACTCCGCCTCACAATGGTGAACATTTGTGCCAAGTAATATTGAAATCCCTCTATACATGTGGAAGTTTTGCTCCGGACAAGCATTTTTCAATGAGCTCTAAGTGTGACCTTGACCTTTGACCTAGAGACCTGGTTCATGTGCGCGACACTGCTCCTCATAGTGGTGAACATTTATATGAAGTTTCATTAAAATCCCTCCATACATGTAGGAGATATGCTCCGGACAAAATTGGACGCCGCCCGCCCGCCCCCCCGACCGCCCGCCCGCCCGCCAGGGGCGTTCCCATAATACGTCCCGTTTTTCAAACGGGCGTATAAAAATTACATTGTTAACATAAATTCAAAGATCAAGGGATCATGGCGAATAATTCTGGAAATAGTCATGCTAGAGTTATGAACCTTGTCACACAACATGTGTGTAATGATAAGAAATATATATTCGAAATTTGAAGTAGATACCTTAAAAAGTAAAGAAGTAATAAAGAAAATCCTAAGTTCAAAGAGAGATAAATCTGTAAATATTGTATCAAGAGTTATGAACATTGTCACATAAAATGTAATTGTGATAAGGAATAAGTATTTGAAGTTTGAGGTAGATACCTTTAAAACTAAAAAAGTTATAGTAAAAAATAACATTTTTCTAGTAAAAAAAAGTCTAAGTTTATGGATTTAGGATTAAGAAATAAATAAGTAACTGTAAAAAATACTATTTTTTAAGGAAAATTCTAAGTTCAAGGGGAGATAAATCTGTAAATATTGGTGCTAGAGTTATGAACCTTGTCACATAAGATGTGGTTGATGATAAGGAACATTTATTTGAAGTATGAAGTTTATCTCATAAGAAATAAAGAATCAACAGTAAAAAAAGTATTTTTTAAGGAAAATTCTACGTTCAAGGGGAGATAAATCTGAAAGTATTGGTGCTAGAGTTATGAACCTCATCACATTATACTCATTAACAGTCCAGGTCATTGGCACAGCTCAGTTATTTTTTAGATACGATCAGCTAGAGAAGGTCGCGTAAAATCAGCTTTCCAAAAGAACTAATTTTAGCCTTTCATCATCTCCAAAAAATATCAGATTTTACGATTCAATTTCCTTACTGCTTTGTCTATATAGAGGTTGCATGTACTTGGTTGAAATGTTGAGCTATATAAAGGGATTTTCTCAGTTTATTTTTCTGCTGTTAACAAGTTTAAAGTAAACTTAATCAAATATAAGTGTATCAATCAAGTATACTAATAATAGTACAAATATATTTTTTTTGCCAGTTTATGCTGCACTAAGTTGCAATGTTTTTTATTCAAAATTGAAATCTGACTTCTTATTTGAATGACTTCTTTAGCGACGAATGACTACAGAAGTCAATCAAAAGGTCAGATTTCAATTTTGAATAAAAAAACAAGTTCATTGTTGATAAGGTTTTAAAGCGGAGCTAGAATAATGAAAAACAAAGCATTTATAAGCTTCGGACCCAAAGCTTTTCAACAATTCATGTTAGCATTGTATACATTATTATTGGTGTTATTTGAATATTTACTGGGAATTTGTAAGTTGAACAAATGTTAACATGTATATTTACGTTTTTTGTACATATATGTTTCTATTGCACAACAGGCTGTATACCTGAACCACTTGTGCACCATTGTGAACATTGTTTATTGCACCATTTTGAACATTGTTTAAGGCATGTCAGCACGCGCAGTATTCAGGTCGCGTAGAGTCGTTCAGACTTATTTCCACAAGTGGGTTGCTCGCCAGTCCACTTTTGCACATAAAGCTAACAAAAGGGTATATAAGCTGATATTTTTAGTTGGGGTTCTTTAAGTTTATCGGATTTGTAGAGATGTTGTTGTTGAGTTGAGTTGTTGTAGTTTAAGTGCTTTAAATTGATTTAAGACTGTTGTTAGTATATAATTATGATGTATAATTTTATTTTAATTGATTTTGTTACCATGCTTTCACTTGGACTTACATGTATGTTATGTACACGCATAGAGTTTTAAATGAAAGGCATTTTAAGCGAAAATGTGTTTAGCAGATTTCTGTTAAAACAGAGTAATACCAAGCACTATTATATGACCTATTGAACTGTGTATTGAAATTTTGCTGCTTCTATAACTTCGGAACACCTCGCCGATTCCTAATCTGAGAGACTGACGGAAATAGCCTGATGCTATTGTTTGACTTATCAAAAGTTCTTACTTCCCCATCCCCCCCCCCCCATCGAACAATTTAATAAATCTTCTACAGCTGTAAAAAGACCTCTCGCATGCTTCTTTTTAAAGAAGCAAACTTGTAAAAACTTGTAAAAATTTTGGCGAAAGTCTTTGACTTGTGAAAATATCCCGATACTAAGAGCCTTGTTTGTTAAACACAAAATAAAAAATGTGGGGTGTAGTGTCTCAATCAAATTTCTTAAAATGAGGGATGGACTGTCTGAGGGCTGAAGTGTCTGCACAAAAGGGCCTAGGGATTAAGTGTCTGTAAATCGGGCGAATTATGAGTGGGACGAATCGTTATCAAAATAGATCTATTTACAATTGACATAAAAATTGTGTTAATGCTGTGGTTTCACTTAAAATTTATTAAGAATATAGACATGACGTACAAATATATGCAAATAAACTGATTTCTACACAAAATTTGATACAAACGTTTCATAATTTTTCGTTGACATTTTTCCGCTTTTGAATTTAAATAGACGCTTGATTTTTATTGTCTAAGCGCCTAGAAAACGGAAAACGGCCGGAAGCCGCGATTGAATTTAGGATTCGCACTACTAAAATTCTGCTAGCATGTCATACCAAATCAGTTTCATTTGATGCGGATTTCAAACCCCTTGTTCTTCAACTTTTACTGTAAACATCATGCCTATCTGTGACAAATAAAGTCTGAAATATATAATGCAAGACAATATTTGTGTGTTTTTATGTTGTTGTTGTTGTTGTTGTTTTTTCTCAGATTTTTTTTATATAAACATCACCTTAATTTACTCTGGGACATACGTTATCGTATATCCCAGATTTACTTTAAAGATCCTGTATGTTGTAATTGAGGTTGTATACCACACTTAAATGAAATGATATGTATTTGTATGCAATTATGCTTATAAAACAATCTCAAACATCAAAGAATATGTAAATTATGTACTGCAAATATTTGTACATATTATATATAATCGTCAAAATATATGCATTCATTTCATGTTGAAAAATTTGACTTAGTCTTTATAGAAAATATTTTTATTACCTCCCTTTATTTATATGAAATGTTAAATTTGGTAATATCTTTATAAATAATGCTTTTTGGAACTTACAAAATTGGCAAATCTTAATGTAAGCATCATATTTATGACAAATTTACCCATAAAATATTATGTTACAGGATCTTTAAATAAGTTGTTAATTAAACAATAAAGCACACTTATTGTGTTAACTAGTTTTAACAACAACGTCACGGATTTATATTACAATATAAATCCGTGACAACGTCTAATGTGCTTCTAGATATCATGAATCTTTTTTTAATCTTGCAATGATAATTATTCACATTTTTGCTTGAGTAGAAAAAATTAACGAAGAAAAAGTAATGCTAAATAAATAATAATAACAATGGGACCGGGTTTACCAGAAATCAGATTGAATTTGGACCGGATTGCCTAATTTGGACCGGACGACATGAAACCGGGTTGATTTGGGGCCGGGTTGACTTGTACTGTTCTCTTTAATTTCGTCCGTATGTTAAATTTATGAAAAGTAAAAATTTGCTTAATCTCTGGAACCCCTTGCTGTCCATTTGATTATGAGACCACAATATAAATAATTAAAGTGACATATATAGCCCCGTAGAACCAGTCGTTATACTTTTAAGGGGTGTGGACGGGGCGTATACCTGCACATCATTTACATCGTTGTTTGTAATGCAACATCGGTCACTGTAATAAAAGATGATCTTATTTTATTTTTAAATGCATTGTAATATTAATACAATACATGCATATACACGCTTATTTTTGACCACAGAACTACGTTTTACACGTCTTTGTAAAAAAAATATAATTTCTAACAACATCTAGTGATAAATTAGAGATAGTCCCTTAAATCTGATGATAAATACTCGTATACCTACACAGCATGGCCTTGCTTTCAACTCTCTAAAACATATTTCTCGGAAGGATTATCGCAATATTTTATGTGATCATAAGCATTCTAAAGAGTTCTTTAAGAACTTATATAATACAGTATGCTGTATCATTTATATTACATGTAGTATCAAGTGGAAGTTAGAAAAAATGTTTACTTACCTTACATTAAAATTTATATTATATCACCTTTGCATGTCTGAAATTTCCCGGGGAATGCAAAAGCAAAAGAAGCCATCATTCAATATTCAAAGAAAGAATAACAGTCAGAAAGTTTCTAAGAAAATTATTAATCGTGAGTTTTAAATTGCCTATAGGAAAATGCAGGAGAAACGTCCATTTAAAATGTCAGTTCTTTAAAGAACAACTAAAATTGAACACTTCAGCTCGCATGTTCATAAAATCTGCAATTATGCATCTTAGTTGCATAAGAGGCTATCGTTTTTATCTCATTTTTCCCTGGGGGAAATTTACAGCTCCGGTAATTTTTTACAGAATCATTTTCTAATGATTACTTTTTTTATATCATTATTTTATTGATTATATAATTTTTAATGACTATATATAAATATGTAGGATATGTATAACAATTTCACTGTCCACTGTTCAAAGAGCATCTTATGAATATACTTATCATATAATCTTATAATAACTGCGATCTTATTGGTTCAAACAGTAGTCAACAGAACAAATCATATAATCATATTCACTGGATGAAATGGAATTTCCCAATGTTAAAATAGAATTAGGTCATATCCAATAACCATACAGGAAAGACAATTCAATGGCTCACTAGTCAATAATTGTATAATATAATCCTTATACAGATTTAATATTTTCATTATTTTTCATCTAATAAAATAAAACATAGATTTATTTACGAAAATCAATTGCTATCTATTATTATAGATATTAGGCCTATTATTATTATTATTATTATTCTGTCTGATGTAATTCATCGACATAATACCCGTTTAGAAAAAAAAAACTTTGTAGATGCGCCGAGAAAATGTCCATTACAGTACAGTAAACAAACATATACATCTTTTAAAAAATCAAAATTGCAAATTATTTAAAAATAAATAAAACTAACGCACTTACTTAAATTTATCAATAAAAATAATTATTTTTAGCTTTATTATTGTAGAATTTGATAAATGTAATTTGCGTGCCCGTTTTGCAAAAAACAAAAAACAAAAAAAAAGAAACAAAAACTAAGAGCAACTGGTGATTAAAGGTCATTGCAATGATTATGATCAAATTTAATGATATCGCTTTTTGATGAATTTTCATATCGTATCGATTTATTCAGGGAATATACATATACACATACAATTTAATCACATATATCAACTAGCATATATATAAAAACACACACATAAATGCAACAAAAATAATTATAAGATTAATTAATGAGTATGTTCTATGTAACCCTAGGATAGCCCATTAAGCTAAAAGCTTATTTCCAATGGGGTCCATTTTCTGTAAAATTATTACACTAACTTACATAATAATAAATAAGTTATAAAGAAGTTAAAATAAATGACAATTTTCAACAATCAAGACACATTTTTCACAAACAAAATGAAATAAATTTCGTTTATACTAAAACATATCAAGTACACATAAACATGTTACAAAACCTTATCATAAGTTACACATCAATTTAATAATAAATAAACATATTATTCACTTGTTTATCATTTTCATTACTTAAAAAAAGTTTTACTTTCGTTTTAAATGTTTGGATATTGTCAATTGATCTAATGTTGTCTGGTAAAGAATTCCAGTCTTTTATGGCATTGTAGAAAAATGTATTTTTAACATAAGAATCATTTTGACAATGTATGTGTACATTCGGCATTTACTCAAACAAAGTCAATATTGATTTTAAATTTCTTGTGCCCTTGCGCCAAAAAAATCTCCTTTTCATATTTTAGTCATACCGTAGGGGTTAAATTGACGAGGTAGCGAATTATCTTGCTACCGACGGAAATACCTGATCAACCAATCAACATCCAATTGGAATACACAGCGCGCAATTCAGTCTTCCGCCATAATAAATTATTGAAAAACTGCACCTTTCTTTACAATTTTAATATTATATTTGTAAATGTATGTGTTTTTAGTGCAAATTACAGTTTAGAAATGTATCACCGTGGATTTTTGCGGCGCAAAAATGAACGACAACCCCGAGGATAGGTAACTCAGAAAAAAAAAATCCGCTTCATTTCTGACATATGTCGAACTTCATTGTTTTGCGAAAAAAATCTTTTTCTATTATAAGCTGTTTATTTGAAGTTTTCTGATTATTAGACAAGTCTTTGGTATTGATAACAATTAAGGAACGATGCATTTCCAATTGTCACGTGTGTGACGTCACGATAGCACGTAAAGAATCAAACAATTTGTGCTTTGATGAATAAAGGCTTTTATAATTTGATTAATCAACATCAAGCCCAAGAAAATGTGTGCTCTTTTTTTATCTAGAAATAAACAAATGTTTAGGTAAGTTAAAATAGAATGTGCAATGTGTCTAGGATTTCAACTTGTTTATTTTATGGACAGTCAGTAAAGATATCCTAATGGTGCATTCCCATTAGGGTTGTGTATCAGTCAAAAAAATCGATACAATTTTTGTATCATTACAAAATGACCGATATTTGATACATCATTTGATATTTTGTTCAAATCACCAACAAGTTGGATCACTGTAAATGAAAAATACATAAAATTCAGGGTTTCTGTTGAGGCACATTTCGATCCTGTGTCCTGGATGCAAAATTATAGCCTAGAACCCTGAACTCTATCCTATACCATCCCATCTATCTATATATGTCAAACCCCTCACGGGAACGTAGACATGACTATAGACTAGTCACTTCAGAGAAAGCTACAAGATACAAGGGAATCCAGGAACTAGTCCCTCTCTCTTATTGAATAGACCTCTTGGTTCATTTACATGCCCAGTGTGTAGCACTGATGCGAGGATTACCTGGATTTCTGACCAGTACACCTCTAGTTAGATGAGAAACTCTGAAAGTGTCTCTGGAAAATCCCAAGGGTGTTACCCAGGATCGAACCGGGACCTCAGGAGTGACAGCCAATCGTCTAACCAACTGAGCTACCGCACCACCCTAATTACTCAGCAAGAAACCCTGAAAATTATTTTAATCAGAGCTCTAGGAGCTGAGTGATTTGAGCGACTTTAGCCGACTTAGTTATTTAAAGTTTGTAAACTTCTTAAACATCAAAGCGAAATCGACTTCAACAACAGGAGCACAAGGAAATGGCTCAATACAGTTATGTGTGCATCTAGTTAAAAGTCAGTGGTGTTTTACATGTTATTTGAATAGCAGTGGATCAAAACAATGCGCCTAGCACCTTTTCACTTCTCCCTTTATCCCTTTAATTTTATTTTTAAAGATTTGATTAAACCATTTATTTGTTTTCCTTTAAAAATAGTAAAAAAAAGTTAAGCATTGTCTCCGCCCAGTGATTGCTAGTAAAAAAAAGTTAAGCATTGTCTCCGCCCAGTGATTGCTCTTGTTTATACATTGTGTGAAGCATAACAAAGTATCAAAGATGTAGAAATAACTGAAATATTTCATGACAGCAGCTTATAATGTTGATAAATTTAAATACTGAATCTTGTTTTTGCTTGTTTTTAATGAATTAATTTTCTTCTGTTGAAATTCCATCTTGAATGAAAAATATTTGAAAATCATGCGAAATTCACCTCCTGCATGGACCCTGGTCCCAGTCTCAAAATGCTAACGAGAGCCCCGTAGAAGAAAAAAAAGCTCTGTCAAAACACCATGAAGTGGCATAAAATGATTATTTTTATTTCCAGTCTTTCAATAAAGAGTTTCTACAGTAGTGATGAAGATACTGATGATGCTGTAGAGTCATATGTTCTAGCCTGTCAGCAAATAAATCCTCATAAGAAAATATTAAACAGGGGACGTTGGCTTAAAGAAGAGGTAATTAAGCTTTAGATAACATTGTTTACAATTAAAGTCTTTGTCAGTACCCACCTTTATGTAAGCATGATGTGCACAAAGTGAACCTTTGTGTGGAGTTGTTATTCACAATTCTTTTTAACAGCAACATCTCTCAAATTACATTACACATTTTTTTATCATAAAAAATTGAACATATAATATTAAATGCAACTTTTTCTAGCCAAAAATTAAGGTTGTAAACTTTCCACAAGTTAAATGATGCCATTTAAGTAAAAATGATGTAAATATTTTCCCAGTAACTTAAATATAACTTTATATATCGTTAATAAAGATATTAGACTGTTGGTAGACTAGATTCTTTGCTCTGTAGTCCTAGGTTTATTTAGATAATATTTGTGCAATATGCCATACTGAACTGTTAGAAATTATCTTTTATAAATATTTATTTCACAGGACGAGAAATTAAAACAAGTTGTTGAGCAAGTAGGTAATCAAGATTGGAAGCTTGTTTCTAGGTATTTTCCTGATAGATCTGACTTGCAGTGTCAACATCGCTGGTATAAAGTACTCAACCCAGACCTGATTAAAGGACCTTGGACACCAGAGGTAATAAACTTATAAATTATAAGAAATCATTTTTCAAAAATTTCATACCAATCCTTTGCTTTCATTAAGTAATGTCCCACTTAAATAACATTTATTAGCTTCACTTTCCAAGTAAAAATTAGCCCCACCCTGTGGGGGGGGGGGGTACTGAAACAGACAGAATAAGGAAAATCTCTTCTGACTTTCTTAAACCCAGAGATATTGGATATTCAGCTTAGTAGTCTTAGTAGTACAAAAAAAAAGATTATTAAATTATATCTTATGGGTAAAAATGGTTCAACTGAAAAAAAATTGATATATTTAATTTGACCCTCCAGTTAAAATCCTGAGGGTCAAATCAGGCCTTTTGGAAATTTGAAGGGTCAAAGACTTGTTTCAAGGGTCAAACGGACACCTTGTAATATAACCACTTATTTAATTTTATCCATGAAATATTATAATTGGTGCTATATCATCATATAATATAAAAATAAAAAATAAATATGAAAGTGGGCATAGTCAAAACTCATATTCATTTTAAGGGACTTCTTTCGCCATTTTGTTTAAAAAATCTGATAAATAAAAAACAACTTTTGTTGAATTTTGTTTTGAAAACTATCTAGAATGATAGAAAATGGTCTAACTAAGAAAATAAATCCGAACACCAATATTTTTAATTCAGCCATTAACGCTGTACAGACGTTTAAAGATTTGTATAGTGACGTCACAATGAAGCGTCAAACAGCGCGCGTATATACAGGCAAAACAAGACCCATCTATAAATAATCAGTATATTTCTGTGCACTGTACAATTGCAGTTGCATAGCAAGCAAGGGGATTTCGTAACCATTTTTCTTTGTTAATAGAATGAAATAAAAAGGTAATTCTTTTCCTTTTCGTGAAATATGGTATATATTTTCACTCAACATGATTAAATGCCACATATTTTCACTCTTAATATTCCAAATATAATTTTTAAGAAAATAAACTACAAGATATTTGTTATGTAGCATTCACTAATAAACTTTCTAAAAATTACATATTAATCAATTTTTCATACCTGTTTGGTCAAAGGTCAACATTTCTTGTTACATATACATGTTGTTTTTTTAAATCTTCTCCACTGAAAGATAAAGGTCCAGAACTTAGATGTTGGATAGTTAGTATTGTCTGAATGATTTTCATATTATTAAGTTATCTGAATGTATAAATGGTACATGTAGTGTTTTGGTGAAAAACAGCTGAGCCCAGTGTGTGGGTCATTTATATTATAGAAATATATGCAAAAGGCCCATAAATTTTTCTGTTTTGAACGTTGAAAGCTAATTCTACAAGATATTTGGTATTAAGAATTGCCAAGAGAGTATCTAAAAAAATTTTTTATAAATCATGGAACTGGAGTTAAAAGTGCAAACTGTTTATCTGATTTTCCCCTTACTCAGGCACACTTTGGCCTCTTTCATAAAAATGATACTTTTTTTAAGCCATGAATCCACAAGAGGAAGTTTAATAATCACGTTTGGTCTTTTTTCAATTTTCTGTGTTTTAGGAAGACCAAAAGGTTTTGGAATTGGTGAAACAATTTGGTGCAAAGAAGTGGACAATCATCTCCAAATATTTAAACGGAAGGACTGGAAAGCAGTGCAGAGAAAGGTATAGAGAAATTTTTAAAGTAGAATCTAGTAAAATGTAAGATTTGGATGAAGTTATGTTTTGTATTTTAGTATTTTTTGTATTCATTAAGAAATGCAAAAGTTGGGGAAAAAAAAGATGTATAAATATGGCAAAAAAGATGAATAATTAAAGAATTAGATGTTTTAATGACAAGATGGCCAACTATTGGAACAAAAATAAGTTTAAAGTATGTGATATGATATTGTTATAGACTTACTGGTAAAATAGTCTCCTTAAAGATCCTGTATGTTTTGTGATTGATATTGTTACTGTGTGTATACCACACTTGCAAAAAGTTATATATGTATATAGTTATGCAAATAAAACAATTTTCAAACAGTGAAGAATATTTAAAATGTGTACTGCAAATATGTGTGAACATTATATTTAATCCATAAATTACATGCATTCATTTCTTTTTGGAAAATTTGACTTAAAATTGATAGAAAATAAATTTCTAATTACCTCCCTTTATTTACACGAAATGTTAAATTGGGAAATATCTTTATAAATAATGCTTATTGGAACTTACAATATTGACAAATCTTAATTTGAGCATCATATTTATGAAATAAAACCATGAAAAAAATGTGTTACAGGATCTTTAAACACATAATTACTTTAGTAAAGAAATATTGAAACATGCTTAAATGTTGCTTTGAATATTTCTCAAAATTTAACTTGTAAACTGTATTTAAGGTGGCACAATCATTTAAACCCGGATATAAAGAAGTGTGCTTGGAGTGAAGAAGAGGATAAACTGATATACAAATTACATCAAACATTAGGCAATAGATGGGCAGAAATTGCAAAGTTCCTGCCTGGAAGGTAAACTTCATTACAACTACATGGTCTATGTACACTACATGTAATAATAATGGAATGTCACTTCATTTGACCTTTACTGCTGTGGGTTTGAATTACATTAGGGGTTCTTTCATGTGAGGAATTTATTACTGTGGTACTACTGAGTGTTTGAAATAATGCACAAAGGGATACCTGGCATTTTCTTCCACTAGTAAAGCTGATAAGTGGTAATGTGACCTTTTAAGCTTTAGCTTTAAGATCCATTATTTATATGATTATTTAAATTCTTGCTATTGAATGTATGTGAATAGTGTTTTCTATTTATGTGCTTATTTACTTTTCATACACATATATTCTATTTAATCACATATATATGCATATAATGTAAAATTGATTTCGATATATACCCTAAACCTGCTGAATTTGTCTACTGGATTGGCTCAGCTATAGTTATAGTCCTTGTTATTAACAAAATCAAAAAATTACTTGAAAATAAAAGTCTACAAAAATCATATTTCACATTTTTACATTGTGTAGGACTGATAATGCTATAAAGAATCACTGGAATTCTACAATGAAGAAGAGATATGAATGTGAGCTGGACTCTGACATTAAAGAATGTGAATCATTCTTACCATTTACACCTGGACCAGTTGAGTTAGGGCACAATATAAAACCGGTACAGATAATGTATGGGGGACAAGAGTTGAAACCTGTCCAGCTTTTCAGCAGTTCAAAGAAAGAAATAGTTGAGAGGCCTAGTTTAAAACCCATGCAACTTTTTCAAAATGTTTCAAGGGATGTAGACAATGTGACAGTCAAGTAAGTTTAGTGCATATTTTATCAAGACAGTCATTAGTTTCATACTAGTGTGCACACAGGAAAGGTATTATAGATTTGTCCTCTGTTTTCCTGTCTGTCTAGAAATATAGCTATATGAAAAATATGAAACCTTGACTTCAGGTAAAAATATGTGTATGTTTTCATGAAAAATTAGTCCAGTCATGCTGTCTAAAACAACTTGAAAAATATTAAAATTAGGTTAAAGAATCTAAATGTGAACTATTTAGCTGCAGTATTGAATTTGAAAGAATATATTAAAGTTTGGCTTGCAATATTTAATCTACACCTGCTGAAGCCATTCTTACTAAAAAATCACACTTTAAAGTCATAATTTAAGGTCTCTATCGAACTGATAGGTTTTAACTGAATTATTCCCCTTTCTCAAGTAATGAAAATCAGATAGGTGTATATAAGACCTCAAAAGTAGATCCTTTAATACCTCAAAAATATACTAATATTGATCGAAAGATCAATATTATGGAATGCATAGATATTTTTCTTCAGGTTAAAATTGTAGTTGCTATGGTAATAACGGTTAACTTATGATATTAGAATATTCTTTGATGACACACAGTTTAGAAACTTGGTATACATGTGAATTAAATATTTCATAGTTAATGTTTACTGTCAATGCGACACTGACTTAGTCTAGGGCACAAAGTTTATTTGAATTTCTAAGAATTATGTCTTATTTATAGGAATAGTGTCAATTATATGAAATAACAAGACACACCTACCTTTTATATATATATATATAAAAAATGATATACACATCTTATTTTTCAACCAACAAAGTTGTACTACTATTGTATTACTGTTTTAACTTGAATCCTAAATGAGTAATGTATATTTGTAACACAGTAGTAATGTTTGGATGAATTTTCACATTACGTCTTTATAAATCATCTCATTTTCATCACATTTTTTACATTTCAGACAGAAATGTGAGGTAAAATGTAATGGAGGTTTTAGTGGACTTAACACATTGGACCTTGTCAGTGGAATAGATTCTGATACAGGTGTCACCCCTATCAAGTTTACAGCATTGGAGGAAAAAAGTAAGATATCCTAGCAATAATATCTGTAACATCATTTCCACTAATATGATCTTGTTTTTATTTTTGCAAGATTTTACGCTTTAACAACAACGAGAAATGGACAAACTTAAATGGCTCATTTGATAACTATACATTATTAAAAGAAAATGATAAGGTCAGAATGTAGTGGGTATTAAGGTCACATCAATCTCTAACTTCTAAAGATATCACTTGAAACTATATGGTCTCTTGGGTCAGAATTGTGTGTCACCAACCAAGACCCATATCTCTAGCATGGTATTTGCTTAAATTAATTTAGTTCCTTGTGAACTTAGAAAATTATAGGTTGGTCATATAGGGCTTCCCTGGTTGAATGGTCAAGGTTGTTGACTTAAAACTACTTGCCTTTCACTGCTGTAAGTTCAAATCTGGACAGACAGTCCTTTGGATTCTTTCATTCTAGCTAGTTTACGGAATGTCAGTGGTTCTACTTAGGTGCCTGTTCATGCCTGACATAATGCATGGAAAAGCACCTGAGGTCTTCCTCCATAAGAAAAACTGGACTGTGTTGGTGCAACATCAAACTCACCTAAAAAAAACTTGAATCTTGAATATTTTCACTTTTCTTAAAATCTAAGTACATTTTTCTCAAGTTTGATTTTCTTGAAATATTTTGGCTCATCTGGAGGCATGCAGCATAAAAGAAGTTGGAATACTTTTGAACAATTTAACTTTGTGTATTTTCATTTTGTATATTTTCCTTGTATCAAAAATTGTGAAATCTGTGTTCCCTAATAATTCTGCCAAGGCCATCATTAAAAAAATGTTTTTTTGCAGTAACGCGACCGACTCACAAAATTTGCCCCTACTCAAAATTTTTTTTCATGGTCAGGATAAAAAATTTTTTTTTTGAATCAGAAAATTATGCCTTGTGCTTTGTTTTCATTCTTTTAAAGGTTAATAGAAGAAATAAAATGTAGGTCTTATTAACTTAGAATTCAGTTATCAATTTATTAATTGCTACCAGATTATCAAAGCATATAATGTCCAGCATTTTGAAATTCCATGTTTATTTGGGAGTACAGTTCAATAAAAAAAAAAAATCGACCTACCTACGCACCTTGAAAATTCTGGGTCGGGTTACTGCAAACAAACATTTTTTTAAGGATGGCCCAAGCATTGTACAAAACTGTGCCCCATCTTTCCTTTCCTTTAATTATACTATCCAGCACTGAGAAAAGTTGAGTGGAGAAATTTTGCTTTGATATTTTAATCTGTCAGAAAGCTCATAAAGCCATTATATAAATTTGATTGATATATATGCTTAAAATATTGAATGTTAAACATTTTTCTGTAGAATACAGGTTTGATGGACATGATATCAACAAATTAAAAAGTCATGTATCGTTGATTCCTATAACATCTCCTGTCACATCCAAGTTCACTGCCCCAGCTATACTACGTAGGAAAAGGAAACATGTAAGATATGCAATTATTGTGAAGTATTCAGTTTTTGTAGTTTTTTTTTTTTTTTGAATTAAATCAGTTAGTTTTATATATGATTTTATGATGGTCAGACAGACAGGTCTGCAATGTTTGCTATTCAGTCTATCCATATTTTGAACATTTCTCTAATAATGATGAATGATTAATATACAGTGTCATCCATAAATACCTTTACACCCTTTGAAAATTACATTTCTCTTAATATACTAAGTATTCATCCATTTCAGAAATATTTTTTTTGTATCTATTTAGTATAAATGATGCTTAGTATAATAAATACAAAAGAAATTTCTGAAATTCCAGAAAATAACATCAATTCATACAAATTTACACATTTAAAGGAAATTGAAATTAGTTAAAAATCATGCAGACACATGCGACTTTATCTAATATCCAACAGATTGTGTTTTCATTTGATTGTTCATGTTTTGCCTGTGACCTTGTGCAACATTAATATCTATTTCAAAAATCACGAATGTCTATTTTAAGGCAATAGGCCCTTTTGGGGTCTGCTAGAGTGGGTGTTTTTCTACTTGCATTTATTGGCATACCCTACGTTTTTGCAGAGGTTGGGGTCTGACATCACCCATACACTGTATACTTTTCCTTACCATTTGCTATTGTTTGGCTCATGTGAAACTGTGTAACATCATTACTATTGACAACAAAACCAAGTTTAATCATTTAAACACAATTGTTGTAGAAGGTCCCATGAAGACTTTGTCAGATTATGTGGTACCAACAGTCAGGTGCACACAGTCAAGTTCCATGATTATAGTTTGATGATGTGTTGATGTAGTGTTGTACTAGTATACCGCAGAAATTATCTGGAACACTGCATGATGGCATGGTTTGCACTGAGGGACATTACTGTTCCTCAAGCACGTTTGTTGTAACAAGTCAACAAGTAATGGCACCAGGATGATGGTGCACTGTGTTACAGGATCAGTATAGTCACTCAGTGAAAGGAGGGACATGTAATGGAGTGTTTAGAGACCATTTCAGTAATCAGACTGCAACTGCAGAAATGTACTGTACACCATTAAGAGTGGCGTACCCCTGGCAACCTGCAAGATCTTGAAACAAATAACTATGATCTTGCACAAATATTAAATTTTATCTTTGTCAAATGCTTATTTAGAACATGCCAATCTTTTATTCATGCTAATGGTGCATGCAATTATAATAAGATAAAGGATAACCTATGTAATATTGTGGATTTCTGTTAATGTATGAAAATGTAAATATATTTCATGTTAATTCTTTAATTGACCGTAAATAATAATGCTTTTTAAAGTTTACAGGCAATTACACTCGTCTGGTATAAAAATTTATCTCAGAAATGTATAACATTTTTGTAAAATGTGCATTAAGCTAATTACAAGAGGTTTAAAGGTATTTACAGTGCTGCATCTAGAATTTCAAAATTATGGGGGATTGTCCCCCACTTAACTGAAAAATGTTTTGACAGCTATGTCCGCTCAACAATGGAAATAGAAAAAATAAATTATTGACGAATATTGCGCAGATCAAACTATTAATTCACCTAGATGCAACACTGTATTTATAATTGGCACTGTATTTATTAAAATGGAAAATGTAATGTTATATAAATCTGATGTGTTTAAAATATCCATGCAGGCAAGTCACAAAAGAATTTTACCAAAGAGCAATATTAAGGAATCGTTTCACACCCCAGAGAGAATGGAAATGAAAGAGCAGTTTTCTAGGGTGCGGCCCTCTGAGGATAAAGAGAAAGAAAATGTAGATCCAGGCAGAAATTTGTTTCTACAATATCAAAATAATTCTACAGTGACAGTGAACAATGACAATAGTTACGAGGTTACCAAAAAAAATCAAATAGGTGATGTTATGCAAGTTGAGAATTGTGACAAAACTGTGCCGAATGTTTTAGAAAATGAAAGTACTGGAAATATTTCAAGTGGCTGTGAACATGACTTTCCTAAACGAGGATCTTTAACACCAAAAGGAACACCAATAAAAAACCTTCCATTCTCACCATCACAGGTAAAATTTTACAAATAGTTTTGATAATATTTATGTATGAATGTTGTTATTACTGAAGATTGGTCTGTTGGTCAGTACTCTTCCATTTTTTTTCTTAAGAACTTACTGAAACTTTTTTGTTCATTTTTAAGCCACAGATGGATAGGTTCATGGGTGCAAGTTTTCCGGCATGTGCCGGAAGTTCCGGTTTTTCACGTGCCGGAGGGATCATTTTTGCAAATCACGTAAATCCGTTGAGATATTTGGAGGGGTATGGTGCGGGTCTACTCTTTCGAACTGAGAAGTACCACCGATTAGAAGTTCATAATCGAGAACGCTATATAACATACGGATGCTCACGGTTGTTCTCGAAGCGCCAATAGTAAACTTTCGCGGAAACTGCCGATAGTTTCCAAAGATATACGAGATGTTTACGAAAACATGTATTATTAATTCCGGCATGCAATTTTATCCGTGAATTTATTACAACGATTTAGATTGGCGCGCTAATTATAATCATCCAATGAAAAAGCGGCTTCGTTACCGTTCGGCTACAGAGTAAACAGAAAGTAATTATACAATTTGTTAGTCAAAAAGAAGTTTCTACACGAAGGATTTAATACAAAAGATATCGAGAAGACCTCAAAAAATAAATGGAGATGGGAATGGTTGTCTGTATGTGATCGAAACGGGGATAACTACGGAAACTGGCTGGAAAAGCCAGACGTTCCCGGCGTAGCTTTCTGCACTGTATGTAGAAAATCCATCAAGTATGGATCCAGCGGGAAAAAAAGAATTAAATGCACGCAGACGATCCAAACCATATGAAAAACAAACTTACTGTGAAACATAACCAGGCTTGTTTTAATTATCTTTTTTGAAAACAATTTATTGTTTGTATGGAATCAGGGTCAGCTCAGCCCTAATTAAAACGTAAACTCGGTACAAATCAACTCAATTTTCAATTTATTTATATATTGGTTTGTTTTATCACTCTTTACTGTTGGAACCACAATATTAAATAGTGGAAACAATATATGAATGCACATTTCTTTTTGTGTTGAAATGTTTTTGTTTATATAATTAAGAAAAAGAGAGAGAAAAGAAGAAAATAATTATGTGAGCAATATTTAAGTGAAAATACTATACTACAGTATGTATGTTATCTGGCATGTAATCATTCAAGGGAATTGCATTTTAGGCCTTCAAATGTGCTATAATGCAGGAGCTTCCGGGGGCCTCCGGCCCCCTGGACCCCTGGCCGGGCGTTGCCCTGGACCCACCGGGGGCCCTTGCGGCCCCCTGGCCCCCAAACAAATAGTTCAGGTTTTTCAGAATTTTTAACTTGCACCCATGTAGGTTGGGTTTGGTCTGTTTGTCACAACACTTGAACCTTAAAAATACCATCGAAATTCTTCCATCTTTAAATGTCATAGGTTTATACACATTGATGAGTTCTATCCGCCAGGCACTAGAGGTCATCATTGGGGGCATGGCATTCATTTGAACATAGCTCTTGTTCATTTATGAGTGATTGATAATGATCTACAGGCCTTGACAAATTTATCGAGGCCTGATCTAATATTGAGTACTTGAGTTGAGGAAACTGTAAATACATGTAGTCTTTATTCAATAAATGAGGAAAACTTGGAGTTATCTTAATGTCATGTTACATAACTGACTATAGCAATTTCTAATAGTATTCTCCCATTCCCAAACTAACCTTGCTTATCCCTAAATTCCAAGTCCTGTGTTAACAAAGAAAAGATCTGGATCAAGATTAATATTTGGATTAACAAAATGTAAAAAAAAATGCATATATTTGCAAAGAAACAGACTATTTTGGGACAAGATTAGTGAATTACAGTATAAAAAAAAGAATCAAAATAAGGATCAAAATCAATATGGTGATCAATTTTTAAATTTATGTGCATATCATGTAAAGTAAATTTTTTCCACTAAAATTTAATAAATATGTTATCTTTTCCACTATGTCCACTTTTGTCAAGTTGATATTGAAAATTAAATCAACGGGAATTAATGGGAGATTTTTTAAGTTTAGATCCTTATTCTCAACTCTCAGTGAACTTAGGGCCTGGTGTTTTGGAAATTTTATCTTCTAATGAAAAGTTATATTTTATAGACAATGTGATTGGAGAACACATTACAATTTCAATTCTAGTTTTTAAATTCACCTGAAATACCATTTGGGAAGGTGACATCAACACCAGTGTGCAGTAAACTTGCTTCATCAACATCTGGACATGGGTCAATACTAAACACACCTGATGTCAAAGTTACTGACAGGTATGGACAGTGCTCACCCTTTGAAATTTGCTTTCTGTAAAATATTTCAATATAGAAATTAGTACTACAGCCATAAATTGAATGTAATTCCTTGTACAGTTATAGAAAGTTTGGTTATTCTAAATGAATTTATAAAAGCATGTTGATAAAAGTCTAGAGAAAATATTTTATGCTATAAGCTTTATTGCATTAGTCATTTTAAGGGAATAACTAAAGTTGTTTTTACATGTCTAGTTCTAGTGATAATCATACACCAGTTGTTCCAAAGATATTTTACCAAGCCACACCCAGAACTCCAACTCCGTTCAAGAATGCCTTAGAGATGATTAGACAGTCGCACATGAATAAACTTATAGTAAGTTGTCTTAATGATATAGATTGCTCTTTGATGATGTTTTAATTTGTAAAGCCAGGAAACTCCACTGAGGTTTTCGACATGGCAAGACTAGAAGTATCTTTTTAAAGACTTGTGTATCATTTAGTGAAAGTTTGGACCAAGAACTTGTATGAAAAATTTCAGATCATTCCCTCACTCTGTTTTCCAAGAATAGTTTTTTTGTTTTTTTTTGCAGTGACTAGCTTTTAACTCAAATTGGGCTTAGAAACACATTTAAATCAGTAAGAAATATAAAGACAATTTAACATTTTCCAAAAGTATACTCATCTGTTCACTAAAACAAGTTATTAGATGTACCTAGCTATAATATCTTTTGTCATATAAACACTTGAGTATTTAAGCATTAATCCATTCACTAAACCAGTGGTGATTTTAAAAGAATAAGAATCAAATGTTTGATAGAAGTTATTTTATTTTTTCATAGAGTCCATGTCAGCTAGATGATGTGGAGGCAATGATCCGTGAAGATACTGGCTATGAGGCAGACATGTCAACTTCAGAGTTTGTTGATCATATCAATGCTTCAAAGAAACAAAGCAGAATGGTTAGTTATGCTCACTTTTGGACTGTTGAAATACTTTTTTGGTTCACGCAAACCTGCGAGTGTTTAAGTTTCAAGGACGGCCTAGTTCGAGTTAACAGTGTAATGAAGTTTCAGAAACATAGATGAAGTCTGACTGTATACAGTAGCATGTTAGTTTTTAATGGTATGAGATAAATAGACATTCTTATATGAAGCAAAAACATAAACCGATAGTATTTGTTAGCATACACATTTGAGCGCTAAAAACAGTTAGTGTGTTATAACACATTATATTTTTAAGTAAATAGGATAACAATAGCTATCAATCATGTGGACAAGTTCCTTATCACTTTAAAATGTCTTGTATTATATATACATTCATTTAATTGCTAGCTATCTTGTGTGTTTCATTTGTTGATTCACATAATCACAGGGACTACCTAGGATTTCTTTTTATTTTATTTCACGAAATAATAATAACAATGCGTAATAAGTAGGCCTATACATGAATATGAAAATATATACATGTATACGGCATATGCTTGTAAAATGAACAAATGTATATTTGAACATCCCTGTGACATAAGCACATAGTAGTATTTAGCACAGCATACCTACAGTTTTTACATAAAAATGACGATCATTGAGTCTCATTAACATAAATGATCATAAGCACATATTAGCCTTACACTGTTCTCATCTGCTACATAGGAATGAAAACTATATTGAATTCTTAAACTTTTGTTTGGAGGTTCAACTGTTTCTGACTAACTTCCTTTAAACACCGTGTGTTGAGGTAATAAATCAAAATACTGTTTTCTGAGGCATGATTTGATGCAATTAATTAACAATAAAAGTTCTTAATTCATAATGATAATCCAAATTCTATCACATTTAAAGATGAATGATATTTTAAAGTATTTTCAGCGAAGTTTTTGCCTGACTATGCCCTAAAACGCAGTCCATTTAATCATTCTATCATTCTGTAACTCCTGGCCCCGTGTTCACAAAGAAAAGATCAGAATCAGGATCAAGTGATCCTGATTTTATTTTCATTGTTTTATGTTCCTAAAATTTATCATATTTTGCTAGAATTAAATGGTACATATTCAAAATGTAAGAAAATGCTGATTTACAACGAAACCAACCTATTTTTGGATAAGCACAGCAAATTACAAAACAAATACAAAAATAATCTGATCAAAATAAGGATCAATTTTAGGATCAAGATCAATATTTGGATCGACTTTAAAATGCTAGTATCTTACAAAAATAACAATAAATTTATTCTAAAATTTTGTAAACATGTTATTTCAAGTCCAGTTTTACCAAGTTAATATTAGATATTTAATCTATGAGGATGAGCAAGGGATAAAATATGAGTTTTTTTAATTTGATCCTGATCTTGATCCTGATCCTTAAATCTTTGTGAACACGGGGCCAGGGTTTCATGAACTAAAATGCTTGATTATAACAACTTTTAAAGCGGTGGCATTGCCAAGTGGTTGGACTAGTATTCTAATGATTGCAAGCCGCATGGGTTTAAATTGTCATGGGCAAGTCGTTGTTTCCTTAAGTTAAGCAATAAACTTTACACACATTACTCAATACTGATTGGTCTTAGGAACGTATTTCGAAAGTGTGGTTATAAGCTATTGGCTTCCTAAATAATAAAACTAAAATAAATTTTGTGTAAACCAAACTGATAACTATTATTATTATATGTTTTTTTTAAAGCCTTTGAGAAGGGCAAAGCAGTCATTGAATCAGAAATGGCCAGCCAATACAACACCATTTTACCCCAGCACAGACTCACTACTTCTATCTCCTGAAACACCTGTAAGTTTTTAATATTTTTTTCATTTCCATAATATAAAATTTTACTCTTATTACTATATGACATGTTTCAATCCTTTTGGGGGTAACTCTGTAACTCTGGCATGGATTTTATATGTATGATTCCCCTTTTAGAACTGAAATGATCCTCGTTTCAGTATTATTTCTTATAATTGTGCCCCCACTTTAGGGGGAGCATTTAGATTTACCCTTGTCTGTCCGTCCATTCTCATTTTGTATCGCACGTAACAATAAAAGTATTTGACCTAGAGTCATGAAACTTTGCAGGAATGTTGTTCAGCATGTGAAGTTGTGCACCTGGGGTTTTGCTTGTGGATTAATTCTGTTTTGTCATAGTTATTGCCCTTGACTTAGTATAAATTTGCAATTTTCAACTTGTTAGGCCTGAAAGTTTACAAGAATGTTGGTCAGCATGTGTACTTAGGCACCTTGGTGTTTGTTTGTGTATTTATTCTGTATTTGTAAAGTTCTTTCCCTTTACTTAGTTAAAAATTTTTTTAGTTCAACTTGTAAAACATATAGCCCAAAAAATATTTGACCTAGAGTAATTAGGTTGACAAAACAGTGGAGTGTGGGGGCACCTGTGTCCTATGGACACATTTCTAGTTTGACATGACACGTAATAACAAGATAGTTTTGAGATATGATTAATGCATAAAGTGCTGTATTGTTATGGTTTTCAGAGCAAATCTTTGATTGGAGATACAAGCATTCTGTTTTCTCCTCCATCTATTATTAAAGACACTTTACCAGACCAGGAGTCAGAGGATGGTTTTAACATGCCAAACAGAAAAAATACGGTAAAACACTGAATATAATTTTTTAATGTAGTATCAAATAAAAATATCACCTGAGGAAATATGTACTTTATATTGTTTCTCTGTTTGCTAATTATAGGTTATTTAACAGTATGGAAATATATTTGAAAGAGAACAAAGCTAGAGAAACTTATATTGGACATGCCACCAGGCGAGTCTTGTATGATTTCTAAAGCTGTGTATAAGTCCATATATATTCCCATATTGTACTTGTTTAATGTTGAATAACATGTTAATTCTATATCCAAATTATATGAAGGACTTAATGTGACTTAATATTGTTAAGGTTTGACGTTGCAAGGCTCCCTTAGTATAATTCATTCAGATACTTTTGTAGCTGTCTGCTATTATCTTGGATGTTACATGGAAAAGGCCAAATGGACTTAACTGTCAGATAATAGGATAATTATATTGAATGGTTAAGTGGTACAATTCAAAAGCAATTACTTGATGTTACTTATTGATAAAAAATGATATGAGGTTATATTCGTTGTTGAGTGCAATACAGCTGTCAAATCTATATTGGATGAGTCTAATAAAGGTTTTGCAGCTGTGTATGAGTCCAGTTTTATACAATGTGAAGTAACTATAGATATTGAAGCAAGCCTTTTAATATGATGTATCTGGTTATACATTGAGACAGGCAGTTCATAGAATAGAACCTCTTCAGTGTATTTAACAATAAATGATTGCAGTTATTCAGGGATGAAAAAATATTTCAGGCCCACTTGTCCTGCTTATATTACTAGCAGGCTACATTTTTAGCTCACCTGTTTCAAAGCAAAACTTTAATTCAAACATTTTAAAAGTTATCAACATGAAACCTGGACTTAAAAAATGTTATCAAAATCAGTTATTGTAGTTGTTGCACTAGACAAACATTAACATCACATGCCATACTCTTGTTCTACTCTGACATTCTTCTGCAAATTCTATTCATAAATATAAGCTGATAAATGAAGCTTTATAACATACTGATATTATTGGATTATTTCATCAATAAAAACATAATTGTTGATGTGTTTTATTTTATAACAATTGATTCATACACATTTTATTTAAGAGTCTTTAAATGAAAAGTGCTTACATCTGGAATATTTAATATGTTTGATAAGTGATCATTGTATAATTAGATTGAGCATTTTGATTTTTACCTTCCGTGGCATTGTGATTAATTTTACATGTTAAGTCATGATATATGATCTATATTTATTACAGTCTAAGCTGTTCAAGAAATCCAGTAAAAAGATTCACTTCAGTAAGACACCAACAAAGCCCAGAATTAAGGTATAATATATTCATCTCTAGTTGTTAAAATACTAAGTTTAAAACAAAAATTAACTATGGACTAAGAATGTGCTATTATGAAGTTAAGCAGTGTTCTGAATCATGTTTAAACATAAGAAAACTACACATTGAAATAAGCTATTGTGTAAAAAGCTTTTAAACAAAGCAAGATTGCATAAAGGAAATATTGGAGGTACAAAATGTTGGACAGATTTGGGGGGTAGATTTGTTTTTGCATGTGTGTTCAATGTTGTGTTACATGTAGCTCCAAAACTACTCGAGCTCGTCGACAAACTTCTTCACAGAAATGTTGGTCGGCATGTGAAGTTGTGCACCAAGGGTTTTGTGTGTGGATTAATTTAGTTTTGTAAGAGTTATTACCCTTGACTTTTTTGCAATTTGTATCGCGCATAGCTCAAAAAGAATTTGACCTGGAGTCATGAAACTTTACAGGAATGTTGGTCAGCATGTGTAGTTATTGCTTGATTTTATATTCTTTTTAGAATACTTTAGGATATAAAATTGAGATTTGAAATTCTTGCTGCTTTTTGCAGCTCAATATTTGGAAATCATGATGTCATCATTGCAAAAATTGGATGTCTTTTTTATGCCCAAACCACTTACAGGTGGGGGGAGTCATGTAGAATTTCCTTTGTCTGTATGTCTGTCATACTCTCCTCCTGTCTATTGCCTGATAAAACGTTTTGTAAATCTTTCAATGCCTTAAATATGTATTGTCGGTGTTATTTGAAGTTGTGTGTCATCAATTTTAAATGTTTGTAGGAAATATTTTCTTTATAAAAGATGATTTTCTTGCAGCTTGATACACAGTTTGAAGTGGTGGCTTGTGGACGAACAGATGACCAGCAGCTGATGACAGAATTAGCCAGACATATCACAAAAATGCATAAACCTCTCGTACCAAGATCTTTAAAACTTTAAAATAGTGAAGTGTTGTATTTGCTGAAACATTTAATAGTAAATTCTGATAAAAGTTAAGTACAGTGGAGGTTTGCTAGTTTGCTTCCGGCAAGCTTTCAGTTTTCTTGTTAGATTATTACAAACTTTGGATATAACTGATAAGCTTGTATTAACATATTTTCTGTACAACGCATATATTTAAAGATGTGTTGAGATATTTTTAACATTTGGGTTTTGTGCTAAGAGAATGGAGACTGTACTTGAGACTGAATATTGATAACTTTTTATCTGAATTATAGATTTAGCCAAGATTTGATTGTGTGATATACAGAATGTAAAAAAATGATTCTACACAGTTACATTAATGAGGTTGTTATCAAAAGTGGTTAATTTAACAGATGAACACCACATGCAGTGCTTTTGTTTTCATTCTTGTGTTGAAGATACATGGTGACTCTATAAAGGTCACGGTCACTTTGTGTTTAATGTAAAAAATTTGTCTGCTCATTAACAGTAATACTATTTGAAATACATACTTGGTATAATTCTGACATCTCATGTTTATATTTATGCTGTGCATAAAACTATATAACAAATATTGGGGATTTTACATCACAGTATATTTTGTATTAAATGTATATTAAATTGTATATTTGTCCAAGATTTCATGGATTAGCTGATATGTTTTACAGAACTAGGCCAGCCTATACATACAGGTAGTCTGTCCTGACACTATACTGTTGGTAACTTTATATTTTGATATTGAAATCCCTTAAACTTTAAATGGTCATGTCCATTCCACAAATACAGTAGGTTAAGGTTTAGGAAATAATACTGTTTACAAAAGAAAGCTCTGTTAGTTGGTGCATCTATGTATTGTGTATATACATGTAGCAGAGGAATAATATATTACATAAATTATACTGTAAGGATATTGATATGTATACATATTTGATATCCTTCTATTTAGATATGTTTTCTTAAACTATGAAAAGGCACTAACTGATTATATATATTAAAAGGCACATTATGCCTAAATAATTAATACATTTTTAAATTGCCAAACATTAGTTTACTAATGTTTAAATTGTCAGATTCTAATCACCTGAAAAAAGTAGTGCTGAATGTAACATTATTATGTCACTAAAGTAGCACATTGTAAACAAAGTAGTATTTTGACTTCCATACAAAATACTAATTTCAAAATTAAACTATACTGATCGGGGACCATCAACCGGACACATTTTGAACATTTTCCCATACAGATTTCATAATTTCAAACCTAGAGACCTAAAATTTAGACACAGTACAGTTTGGTTACTAACAAACTTGTTTGTTTATTTCTGATTATATTGACACTTATATCTGAGGCTTGTCAAGGCGGGTATCAAAATTACCTAAATTGTCTACACTACAGTACCATGTGTCGGGACAGATATGTACATGACATGATTTAATTCAGATAAAAGCTTGGGTGTTTTAATTTTTGATTTTTAACATAATATACAATATTTCAGAAACAAATGCTGAAGTTTTGGATATTGTATTTTTTACTCTGCAAATGATTATAGCTGGTATGTGAGGTCAGGCATTGCTTTCTTGACGCCCAAATTTTGACGTCAACATTCTTGAAATAGACATTAAAATATTACCATTAACGAAGGTTGAAATAAATTCATTTACTTAATTATAGAAGAAACATACATTTATTGTTGATAAAAAAGTTAGACAACCACTGAACAAAGAAAATACTAAATTAAGCATTTTCGCGGCCGTCCGGGTTTGATGGTTGTCCGGTTTTGGTGGTCCTCAACCAGTGCCTGTACTAATTGCCAATAGCAACAGAAACAGAAGGTGGTTTACGTGTTTCTCCAATGAATAATTTTTTTTTGAAACCCGGACACCAATAATAAGATGCTTTTGGAAGATGAAAATAAAAGCCTTTTTGGGGCATAATGGGTCTTTATAATAGGAATGCTGAAAAACTAGTTTTGACAGTACTTTTTGAAGTCAGTGTTAAAATTGACAATAATGATAAATTTGCATGCCAATAGATTTGTTTGTTACTGTTTTGTTGATGCTTTATATTTTGAAGTTTTATTTTCTATTTGATTTTGTGCTATTCATACAAAAATTTTATTTTATTTTGTTGAAAGGTATTATCTTTATGTTTCTTATGTTATGTATATCTGATGAAAATACATGAGGTAATAAGTGTAAATTGAATATTTTTCTGATAGATTTTTAATGATGTATAAGATTTAACACGTATCCTGCAGGAACCATATGTGATTAGCCTTTGCCACCAATTTAGAGCCTGGCTAGGTGTATAATGTGACCAGGCACTATACTGCTAAAAGCTCAGATATAGTATTTTGATATTGAAATCCCTTAAACTTTGAATGGACTGTTCCAGCAGGTTAAAGGTTAATTAGTTATGTAAAGTTTAGATAAGGACACTGTTACCTGTATACTTAGATATAACACCTTTAAATATAACACTAATAACATGTATGCTGACATGACCTTGACCTGTAACATATTTTGGATTTTAAGAAGAATTTTGCAAAAAATTACATTCTTAAATACTAAGATTCTTTGACAAAACATTTATATGCACATCATGAAACACTGGGGTTATGTTATTTCATGACAAGTAAGTGTATATATAATTATAGGGATATTATGGCCTATTTATAACAAAATCAATAGCATATTTAAGATACACTTGCTCCTCACTGCTGTGGGTTCGAATCCCGATAGGACTTGGATTTTTTTCATGTAAGGAAGCTTTCCAGGTAGCTTACGGACCGTCGGTGGTTCTATTTGGGTGCTAGCTTGTGCCTGAAATAATACACGAAAGGGCACCTGAGGTCTTGCTCTACCACTAAAGCTGGAACGTGACCTGTACTGTGTCGGTGTGACGTAAAACGGAATCAAAAAATCAACATTCTCTTTTATTACTGTAAATAAAGTTTAATATGTGTAATATAGAATCATTTTATGTATATGAAATACTAGTATAGGGAATGTCGCAGTCAGCAGTGTCCTTGTGACTTTAAACCTAACTATATGAAAGGGGGGGGTATGTACATCTGTTCACAATTTACCTTGATTGATAAGATGTCTCACTTTAAAGTTCATGAGGCATACAAGTCATTCTGACATTTCTTGTTTTTATTTTAATAATATATAAATTATATATATGTTGTAAATATATTTATATTTTGTTATTTATTTTAGATGTCATTTTACTTTAGGAATAATTGGTTGTTTTTAGCTCACCTGAGCAATGCTCAGGGTGAGCTATTGTGATCGCCCTGTGTCCGTCGTCGTGTGTCGTGCGTCGTCAACTTTTAACATAAACAACTCTCCTCTGAAACCAATGACTGCACATCAACCAAACTTTACAGAAATGATCCTTGGGTGGTCCCCTTTCAAAGTTGTTCAAATGGTTCCGGTCTGTTGCATATGTAGGTCACAGGGCCAGAAAAGGATTTCAAAAAACACAAAATTAAAAAATCTTCTTATCTGAAAGTACATGGGCCAGAGCTTTGATTTTTGGTATATGGTATCATCTATGGGTCCTCTACCAAAGTTGTTCAAATTTTGTCCCTAGTGTCAAAATTGGCCCCGCCCCGGGGGGTCATAGGTTTTTCTAATTTGTATATAGTAAAATCTAAAAAAATCTTCTTCTCTGATTTGGCAAAGGCTACAGATAAGATATTTGGCATGAAACATTGTGTAGTAGACCTCTATCAAGATTGTTCAAATAATGGCCCTAGGGTCAAAATTGGCCCCGCCCAGGGGGGTCATTGATTTTCATTACATACATATAGTGAAAACTTGAAAAATCTTCTGGTCTGAAACTAAATGGCCTAGAGCTTTGATTTTTGGTATATGGTATCATCTATGGGTCCTCTACCAAAGTTGTTCAAATTTTGTCCCTAGTGTCAAAATTGGCCCCGCCCCGGGGGGTCATAGGTTTTTCTAATTTGTATATAGTAAAATCTAAAAAAATCTTCTTCTCTGATTTGGCAAAGGCTACAGATAAGATATTTGGCATGAAACATTGTGTAGTAGACCTCTATCAAGATTGTTCAAATAATGGCCCTAGGGTCAAAATTGGCCCCGCCCAGGGGGGTCATTGATTTTCATTACATACATATAGTGAAAACTTGAAAAATCTTCTGGTCTGAAAGTAAATGGTCTAGAGCTTTGATATAAGTTCTATGGTATCATCTGGAAGTCCAATACCAAAGTTGTGCAAATTTTGTCCCTAGTGTCAAAATTGGCCCCGCCCCGGGGGGTCATAGGTTTTTCTAATATGTATATAGTAAAACATAAAAAAATCTTCTTCTCTGAATTGGCAAAGGCTACAGGTAAGATATTTAGAGCTTTGATATTTGGTCTATGGTATCATCTATAGGTCCAAAACCAAAGTTGTTCAAATTTTGTTCCTAGAATTAAAATCAGCCCCGCCCTGGGGGTCATTGATTTTCTCTATATGTATATAGTAAAAACTTTAAAAATCCTCTTTTAAAGAACCCAAAGAGCTAAAGCTAAGATATTTAGCATGAAACATCTTCTAATGGGTGTCTACCAAGTTTGTTCAAATAAAAGCCCTGGGGTCAAAATTGGCCCCGCCCCAGGGGGTCATTGATTTTCCCTATATGCATATAGTAAAAACTTATATATATAACATAAACAACATCTCCTCTGAAACCAATGACTGCACATCAACCAAACTTTACAGAAATGATCCTTGGGTGGTCCCCTTTCAAAGTTGTTCAAATGGTTCCGGTCTGTTGCATATGTAGGTCACAGGGCCAGAAAAGGATTTCAAAAAACACAAAATTAAAAAATCTTCTTATCTGAAAGTACATGGGCCAGAGCTTTGATTTTTGGCATGAATACATATATATATATATATATATATATATATACATACATATATATAAGATATATATATACATGTATATATATATATATATATATATATATATATATATATATATACATACATTAAAAATCTTCTTTTAAAAAATCCAATAAGCTAGACCTTAGATGTTTAGCATGCAACATCTTCTAATGGGTGTCAACCAAGTTTGTTCAAATAAAAGGGGTTTAAACTGGCCCCGCTCCGGGGGCCTATATACAGGTGAGCGACTTCGGGCCATCATGGCCCTCTTGTTTCTTCTTCCTTTTTAAACTTAATAAATCGAGCTATGACCGGATTATTTTGTTGTGAAAACATCTTATATAGTTAGATCATTTAACAAAGAGAAAAAATATCATCCCTCTTCAAAGCAAATGTCTTATTTTTTTTAATTCCACATTAATTAGTTCAGTTGTTTGATTATTGTCTTTAATAAGATATTTTGGAAATAAATTTGTATTAATAGACTATTTATGTGAAACATAACAAATTCATGTAAACATTATTTATAACAGACCTTCTTCAGTATACCTAAGGCCTCTTTTACCGTGAATGAATAATAATTCGACAGCACAGATAGTTTGGTTAAATGTAATTTAAATTTTCTGGGAAACATTAAATGACCTTACTTACGTTTGCATATCTTATTGCTCATAGTTTTCTTTGGAGCTAAAACAGAAAGGAAAAAAAACTTTAAAACATTGTCTTATGTCAAATTATTTATTAACAGTAAACTTAACTGTAGTGACCATATAGCATCAACTAAGTGTCTCTTTAGATATAAAAGTATAGTCTCCTGTAAAAAATGTATGAAACTGGTAGATTGCCATTAACCTAATTGAGTCTGTGCTCCCTTAGATTTCTTTCAAATTTGCCCAAATAAATTTGGTATGTCCCAGGTATTATCATAACTTGGTATTAAGCATCTGCAAATGGACCTTGAACATATGTATGTGAAAATAATATTATAGATATGTAATATATGTGTAGAATACTGTAACATTGATTGTTGTGGTATATTTAAGTTTTATCATGTTAATTCACCCTAATTAACCCTAGAGAAAGAATGGCAAGTTCAGTTCACAGTCTCCAGTAACATGTTAGATACCAGAATTTATTACCATAGTCCTCTTGTTTATACAACTTAATTTACAATTCTTGTTGCACAACCATTTCAAAATTTTGCTTGAATGTAAAATTAATATTTTCTCCTTTTTATGGACCTGGGAATACATGTATAGTAATTGTTGTATAAGGTAAATCTAAAATGGCAAGTTGGATTTATCTAAAGTTCTACATGTACCAATGGCTTCATAATAATAAATTTACCCACTAACTAATCAATACAAAGTACATGATCTGGGCAAGTTACATAACTACGGTTTCCATTTTTTCCAAGTTATTGCCCTTCTCAGCACTTTGAAAATGGATATGGTTAACCTAAAACTGGAAAGTTGGATATATAATGGCTTCATAATTATCACACTATCAATACAAAGTACATGATATTGCCAAGTTATATAACTGTGTCATTCATTTTCCCAGTTTTCCCCCCTTTTTATCACTTAGGGCCTGGTATGGTTAATCTATTCTGCCACATTGGATTTTTCTTAAATTTCTCCTGATTACTTCATTTATTTTATGATACCTTACATATTTAGTAGATAGATTCAGGGGTAAAAAAACAAATATTATTTTTTAAATTGATGTATTTTATGCTTAATATGGACATGCCTAAGGAGGTCCTCTTTCTTCAGGTTTAGTAAGGGGTCATTTGGATAAAGGTCAAGATCACCAATGCCAAAAACAGAATTTTACAGGTGATGTTTTTCATGTTTGGTAGGAAAATAACTTGCATGGTCTTCTTCTTTTGGTCAAGGGTACTTATAAAAGATTCCTACACATTTGCTTATACAGCCTTATTTATTGACCGAAGATTTTCATATTTGGAAGGGACATACCTTGCATGGTCCAGTGTTAGAACTCACAAAGACAAAGTTACCTGTGCTTACAATAATTTTTTTACACTTTCTAATTCGGTCTTAAATTATTTTTTTACTCATGTCTCATATTTGTAAGGAACATACGGAGGTGGTCCTTTAAGTTTGGGGTGGAGTTTGGGGTCACTGGTTTCAGGGTCTTCCATTATACATATAAGTTTGATAAACTTAAATTGGCAAGTTGAATATTTTCCAACTTCATCAAATAGCAATGACTTGCCAACTTATATTTTTCAAAATATCAAATGGTCATGATTCTGTCAAGTTATATTTACTGTATTTACAATCTTTTGGCAATTTTTAAGTTAATATGTGAGTGAAAAGGTAAACCTTTTTTGAAATTACTGATATTAATCTGGGCTTGGGGCATTTAAGTTTACCAAACAAACAAATTTCAAATTTAGAACTTGTCTGAAAATGTTAAGCTGTTTCTTATTAAGATTATACTATTTGATAAAACAAAATGCATTAGATGTGTTAATGTGTAATTTAGTTTAAAAGATATGTTGTTTTATTGTCTGTTTCTGTAGTGTTTAAGACTGATGTTAAATGATTGTTGTTAATTTGATAGTGATTATTATGTGTATAAAATCAAATGAAATTTTATTTTGTTTTGTTTTTATTTCCTAGAGAGAAAAAAACTGGCATATATTGTAATGCAAATGGCTGTCCATCTATTAGCAATTTCATGTCCAGTCTGGCAGAAATGTTTCCCATAATGAGACATGTACAAAGCACAGGTTTTGACCTTCCTCAGGTCAAGGTCTCAGTCATTTTGTATGAATTTCAAAATTTTGAGCCCACTCTGTATCTTTAGAAACAATTGAAAGAAATTAAAACTTTGGCAGAAATATTACTTATGAGATATTGTGCAGAATACAGGTTTTAGGCTCACTGAAGATCACAATTGGCCCTGTTCTTGGGATAATTTGATTTATATAGACTGAGATGGGAAAACACATTTAGTTTAATCATGTGAAACTACAATGTCTAGAGCATTACTATATAACATTGCCTTATTGACCTTTTATGACATGAATCATCACCCTTGGTTCAATATTGGACCCATCCTATAAATAGACTTGTATAGGGAAAATACATCTAGTCCTATACTAGAAAAGACATTTCAGTCTTATTTTGTGAATGACTAGAGATTTAAATATTTGTCATGTAGCATTGCATTGTTGACCCCAGGGATCAGATATTTTACATGGATTTCTAAAGGAAAAGTCAGACTAGTAATCTAAGGATTGCTGACCACGTGGGTTCAAACCCTGTCGGGGGCAAGCCGTTGTTTCCTTGAGCAAGAAACTTTACACTCATTGCTTAGTACTGGTTGGTTCCAGGAACGGATTCGAGTGTTTCACTAAGCTTATAGCTTCCAACACAATCAAATTAAAATAAATTTGTATAAACTAAAGGAAAAGTTGAGTCTTAGGTGAAACTGCAATGCCCAGGCCCGGCTATCACTAACGTTCTCAAAGTCAAAATCTCAGCTCATGTAGCATTTCTTTACAGGCCTCCATAAAACTGATGTCATGCCTATTTGGGTAAATATATGGCCTGCACCTGGAGTCAGTTAATTTGTATAGACTTGTGAAGGAGGGGGAAAACATTAAAATATTATTGTGTGAAACTACAATGCAAAGAGCTATGATATTAGGCATGTAGTATTACCTATCTGCAAAACTAATATTAATCTTGCCACAGGGGTCAATATAGATTTTCTATTGAAAAATTGCTCAGGTGAGCGATTAGGGGCCACCATGGTACTCTTGTTAACCATATTTTCTGCAGGATAATCTTTGAAGTTGATAACCTTTCAATTTCGACGCTTATTGAATTGTAGTTGTGGCTCCATCACATTTGCAACATGTCGCCAGCACCGTTTCGATTGCTCGATAACATTTGAATAAATGTTATTTTATTTTTAGTTAAGCTCTGTGAACTACTTCTTACTGTGAGTCAAAGGGGAGGTAAGGATCTTGTTCCCTGCACGATAAAGTTGGTAAAGTTTACTTTACGGTAAAAAAAAATCACTTAAGATGTGTCTCAACGTAAAAGAAAACACGTGTTTTCCTTTGAAAAGGTCTAATAGCAACGTCATTTTTTGTATTACCACTATTACTATTTTCGGTGTTTTTCAAATTGTTAAGTAATGAGTATTTTTTTAATAATGTATGCGTAAAATAAATAATCCTTTCGAAATTCACTGTTGAAACAATTTGCAAACATACTGATTTGAAGACTCTCACTAAATTGATGTGGTATATCGAACTTGCACGTCTGAATTCCATAACTGTCTGTTGGGACTTGAACACAACATATGAATATGTTTTGTTGCACGTACACTTAAATTCGGTCCGATCAATTTGTTTTAATATTAAGATAAATAAAGAAAACGATGATATAATGACAATTTCGACAAGACACGTGTCCTACTCCGCTCAAAATATAACTGTAGTCACTTAATTAGAAAAGAAAAGAAAAAAGAAGCCTGGTGGCAAGATCAATCTTTCAGTACAGGGTCTTTCAAACAGAAAGACTTGAATATTTGAAAGACCCTGTTCAGTAGTACTAGTTGACAGGTGCGTTTGTCTTGGATAATATACGTCTAAATTTATAATTTTATATAAACGCTACATTCAATATTTTTAAGTCACTTTCGTATTTCTTGAGCGAAAGGAAGATCTCTGAACTTGTGTATAGAAATTATGCAAATAAACGGAGATAAAAACCATCATAATGATTAGTTTTGAAAATGAATATATTTAATTTCTGATTATATAAACTGCAATTTTATTGTGAAATTCTTATTTTCAAAGTCACTTTCGCTCACTTTCGTCAAAAAGTCACTTTCGTATTTTAGTCGGCTTATCCGAAGACTGACGGAAAGGGCCGAAAAGTTGCGATTGTATCAACTTAACGAGTTACTTCCCTTGTTTACAGTAATAGGGAGCGCTACGCTTGTGCAGAAGATCTTAAATATTTCCTAATTTGAAAGGTAAATATAATGAATTGTGATTTTTTATTATCTATAATTACTCTGAAGTTGAATTGAATACATTTTATTGCTAGATCCTGATAAGAAATTCCCTGTGATGAAAAGGAATAGAACGACTTCACCGAAAAGCTTGTGATTACTTGCCAACAAAATGGCGGACGCTAAACAACAAAGTGATGCAAAAGTGATATAATTACTATTTTCAGATATTTGCGTCATAGAAAATATTTCGATTGACCATTTTTTTTATCGCTGGGTAGATCTATATGAAGATAACCTCCATTGGCATTGTCACCGTAAGTCATTGGAAGGAATATAACGATTCGCCCCACTGACGATTCGTCCCTGTTCTAGAGTCAACACCCTTACAGTGTATGACAGAAAGTCTCAACATATGTTGATGAGGAATGAAAATATTGGATATTTTTAAACAGCAAAGTAGATTTAATGTATCTGCCAAATTTCTTCAACATACTTTTCCCATGCGCTTTTAGTGGGAAAAGAGTCAACTCGGCCCTATACCAACTCGGCACGGGTCAACTCGGCCCACTTTCCCAAAATATATAGGCCTATAACGTATTTACTTTGTTTTGCATGTTGTTAAGGTAAATGAATAATAAGAAATATCTTATTATTATTATATAATTATACATTATACCTCTGCTGAAATAAAGTATATTTAGAAATAAAGTTATTTATTTGTCTTGCAGATTCGATAAAATTAATATAAACACAGGCACGATTATCGAACCTGGGAAGAAAAAATATGAACAGATTGATAAAATAACTTCATATCTTCTCTTCCCAGATGCCTGTGAATACAGATATTATAAAAATGTGTTTCCTTAGATGCATTTTGTTTGTAAAGTAATTTTCAAAAAAATATGAAACAAAAACGTGTTTACTTAATAGCATAATCTTCTAATTAATTGCAGGTGGTCACTAATCAAATTTGAATGAATGAGTCAATCATAATTATCACCTAATTAATAGGTATCTTTAACAAACACATTGATTGATAATAATAGCCCGTGACAATAGGAGTCCTTTGATGTCCTTTACCCATTTTTAAAAGTGGGCCGAGTTGACCCGTGCCAAGTTGTAATAGGGCCGAACTGACTCGGGGGCCGAGTATGTTTTAGGGCCGAGCTGACCCGGATTCCTTTTAGTGCCGCGCTCCCGCTCTGCATTAATCTCCAAATACATCCATTGACAGTCTCTATTTGAACTACGTAAATAGCTGAGGTATATGGAGTGAAAAAGTACGAGTTGTTACCCTTATCTTTGAGTAAAATCCATATCTCTAATGCTAAAACAATGCAAATTTAGCCGTTTTTGAACCGCTAGTTTGGGGCGATTACACCGAAGAAAAGTTTGTGATCTTAGCTTTGTCTCAGTGTATATTTCAACACATTGTTTGACACTAAATGTATTTAAATTCACGGTTTAACCTACCACAAGTCAGAATATTTTACATACGTTTTATACAGTGAGATACCTAACCCGTTATCTTTACTTGCAATTCTACTGATAAGAATAGCCTGTTGTCTACTAGTTCGAAAACTGTCAATCGGTGTATAAATCTCACCACTGTGCCATAAAATTCATCGCAGCGCCAGTGATTTTCCTACTTATATAACAGACTCCGAAAAAGGCCTCTTCCCAATTGAAATTTTCTTTAAAATCATGCAGTTTTCCCAAAAATCTGAACTAAAACCAGCCATTTTACTTCCCAAATCAGCAATTTTGGCAATATTTTTTCCCAAAGTCAAGAGGCTAAGGATCTTCCCAATAAAGTGAAAAAAATCACTGAGCGCTTGATTTTTCCAATCCCTATTGTTCAGTGGTTAACAAATTGACAAAATGGCCTGTTTGATAATAAGTTCCCGGTGACGCAAAGAAATTTGTTAAAGAACTTGTCTCAGCAACGGTAAATTTTAAAATTTTGTTTTACGTTGCCTCTTTAAATATCTGATGAATAACAATCTTCAAATAATAAAAACATATTTAATTTAATATAATCAAATATATAAATATGATAAACAATTGTTTAGGGATCAGGAAAGTATATATTAGAGGAGCACCTGCCTATCTAGAACCACCAGTGACAATGTACAGTTATAAACTCTCATGTGATCAGTGATTTTTTTACAAACTCATCAGTGTGGGTTCTATGACTTGCTGGGCTATAAATCTATGAGTCCCAAAATTTAGCCGACTAATCCAAGTTACAAGGCTTAATATTGCTTTAGTATATTAACAATGGAATGAAGAAAAAATGAATTTGATTTCTACATTAATTACAATGCTTCTGATACTGAAATTATTCAAAACTGTCAAATAAATTTAATAAGTTTATTTCCATTAATTTAGTTTGAGATTAATCAAAACTTCATTTTCCTTAATATTTTTATGCTTATCTATAGTATAGCACATTATTATTTCTTATCTGTAGAAGATTTGCAGACCTAGAATATGATTGACATAACTTGAACACAATTTGGTATTTATTACCAAATTCCTGTCAGACAGGACTCCCTACTCAGAAAAAGTATGCATCCAAAAGATGCACATTATTTGAAACTTTGCATCCACAGCAAATTCAATGAGTCCTGGACTCAGGATGCAGAGGTAAAAAAATCACTCAGTAATGTAATTTCTTAGGACCTTTATCAATTTTAGCATACTTAGTAATGGACCAGCTGATTACACCAACAGACTGAAAACTATGAGGTACTAATTACTTAAAAGACACTTTACAGACAAGTGCTACACATTTACATTCGACCCTGATAAAACAACTTGGATGGGCTAACCAATACTGTTTGTGTGTGATAATATAAATAGTTCATCTTTCAGTTATGTAAATGCTCAAAATGAACAATTACTTGCAAATAAATGCCAGCTAAAGTATTTTTTGCTGGCAGTCTTGCCAGTATGCAAGCTTAAATTCGAACCCTGCCCAATGTGGAGAGCCCTAGCTTATTACACAGTCTGAGTCATTTCCTTTTCAACATGCAAACACTAATTACATAGACTTAGTGTATCGGAAATAATGTAAAAAAAAACAACTGTTTTTATTTCAGATGCCTAACATAAAATTACAGAGTTCTGATGGAGAGGTGTTTGAAGTAGATGTGGAGATTGCTAAACAGTCTGTTACCATAAAAACCATGTTGGAAGGTAATGGGATTTTTTTCATGAAATTTATGCCTTATTATGCTCATACCATAAAAACCATGTTGGAAGGTAATGGGATTTTTTTCATGAAATTTATGCCTTATTATGCTCCCCGAAAAAATTTAGGGGAGCATCAGGGCCAAAACACCATTTTTGGGGGAGGGGCCAGCCTTTTCCTTAGGGGAAAATATGCATGATTTGGAATACTTTGGGGAAAGGGGTCTCAAATTTAACACAAACTTTAAACAAGTTAGGGGTCTCAAATTTAACACAAACTTTTATGAAGTTCTTCAAAGAAGAAAGTCTAAAAGCACTGGGAAATACTAATAAGGCAGTAAAAGACCTTAATTCAACACCATCATTTAATTTTGTTCTAATTCTATGGGAAATTTCAAAAGACTGGGGAATTTTGAGGACCTAACTGGGGGGAAAAGGAGGCTAGTTTGGTTGGGGAAGCAGCCTATATGGCCTCTACAAAGAAGGGTTTTGGCCGGGAGCATATAGTCGCCGGGTTGTCTGTCCGTCCCAAATTCGTTTTTGACCCATATTATAACTTTGTTATTTGAAGTCGATTTTTCAACTATTTCACAGAAATGATCACCATATTGAGACGATGTGTCGCGCGCAACATTTGAGTCACTACCTTGATGGTGAAGGTCACAGCATGACCTTGCAGCAAAATCGTGTCCGGCCCATAACTTCGTCTTTTGAAGTCGGATTTTACAACTTTTTCACAGAATTTGAGAAATGATCACCATATTGAAACAACATGTCACACGCAACATTTGGGTCGCTACCTTGAAGGTCAAGGTCACAGCATGACCTTGCAGCAAAATCATGTCCGGCCCATAACTTCGTTATTTGAAGTCGAATTTTACAACTATTTCACGGAAATGATCACCATATTGAGACGACGTGTCACGCGCAAGTCAGTTAGATAGCAGTTTGAAATCAACATACATCAGAAATGAGAAGAAATTTAAAAAGATATTCAATGAGCAGCAGGAATAGTTTTGTTAAGAACATTTATTTAGGTTAAAAAGTAACATACAAGTTATTGACAGAAGTATGATATTTCAGATTTGGGTATGGATGAAGATGAGGAAGAAGCTGTTCCACTTCCAAATGTTAATGCTGCAATTTTGAAAAAAGTAAGTGTACTTTTATATTAAAATAGTGAACACTATTCTATTTTGTTACGCAATTACATCTTTCAATTTTGTATTATATATTTAAGGTATTAGATGTATAAATGACACTTTTTCAAAAGGCATTTGAAACTTTATATTATAAAACTTTACTATATTCTAGATAAAAAAATAAAAAATTACAAATTTTTACCATCTTGTTTGAAAATTCAAAGTTAAACTTGTATCGGTTCTAAACAACAACAACAATTATGTTTTCATTACCTGTAGAAAATTTACACTTATTTAATATTTTCCTTACTTGAAAAGTGATTATAAAGAACTATATTTAAATGACTTCAAATAAATCAATGTTAAATGTATATAAAAATCATTATTTTTGTTTATTATACCCCCACAAATAACGCTTTTTATCACTTGGGGACCTTACGCCGCTTTTCATGGAATGGCACGGAAGTGTCACATTGAAGGTTCCATGATAACCGCCGTATGAACACATCTGCGGATGTTTCTAGATTCAAAATTTTACCATTTCATGTTTAAATGTTGAATTCTGCTTAAGCCGGTGCTAGGGGGCGTGGACGGTAACTTGCACTTTCCAGTACCGTCCATGAACAGGCTCAATCAAACCGAGCCTGCAACATTTTCAATTTTGCCGTGTTTGGCTTTCTTTAGGGATTCTGGTTTTATCTATTGTGTGTGTGTGTGGGGGGGGGGTATATAGGAGTCAGCTTGTCTGTCGGTCAGTCCACATTATGGTTTCTGGACATTAATAGAGTTTGGAATGAGGTATTTTGCAATCAGACTTGGTATATAGCAACCTTATGTGGAGACCCCAGTTGGTATTGCATTTGAACCCCCTTGAATCAAGATCACTGTTACTAAAAAATAGAAAATTGGTTTCTGGACAATAACTAGAGTTAGGAATGAGATATTGTAATCAACCTTGTTGTATAGCAAGCTTATATGAAGGCCCTGGCTGCTATTGCATTTGGACCCCCTGGGGTCAAGGTCACTGTTACTAAAAAATAGAAAAATGGTTACAGACAATAACTAGAGTTAGGAATGACATTTTGTAATCAAACTTGGTGTATAGCATTAAGCAAGCTTATATGAAGACTCAGGTTTGGAATGCAATCAATTGAAGTAATTCTTTGTACACAGTTGATACTTTATTTACTATAGGTTGAATTCAAATTTTTCGTCAGACCACTTATTTTCAAAAAGTCAAAGTTGTTGGTGGGGGTATTAATCACCTTCAGTGATAGGTCTAGTTGAGACAGGTACCTGTCATTTTACATCAAATAAGAAGAGGATGTGGTAAGAAAAAACGTCAGATTTTGTCAAATGTAATCAGGGCATCAAATATTTTTAATAATAATTATCTATAAAAACTATTCTTAACATTTGTGCGAAATATAAAGAATGTTTACCATGCTGATTTTATATTATAATCATTTTAATTTGTTATTGTATCCATTTTCATACATTTCACAGTAAAAAATATACATAAAATTTCAATTTTTTAGAAATTACAAACTTGCGATATAAATTAAGATAGGATATAATATTCTGACAAATCAAAAAGAAGAAAAGACAAAAATTGAGGAAAAAATGTTGCATCTTCTGGGGTTTGAGCCCATGCCCTATCGAAACTGTCTCATTACTGAAAATGAATACTCTTCAGAAAGGAGATACTGCATTAGGCATTCAGTACCTTAATTAGGTGTAAGTTTCCTAAGTCATGTTAGAAAATATCTCTTGCAGAACTAATTTTTCACAGGTATTGGAAGGGGCCCTTCCCTGATAATTTTGGAAAGGCAACATAAGGGGAAGAAAAAACTTCACGTAAATATTTGGGGAAAACTACATGATTCTAAAGAATTTTCGAGTGGAAACAACCCCTGCTTTGGAAGTAAAAAAAGCCCTGTCATTACACGGTTAAGTTGCAAAAAGTAACATATTTTTAAGTCTGAGCACAATATGAAAAGTGGATGCAAGCTTGCCCCTCAATGCACTGGGTTTCAATCCTGCCAAGGACTTTGGATTATTTGATGTGAGGAAGCTGTCAAGCTAGGTTACAGAACATAGGTTGTTCTAGTCTACTCAGGTGCTTGTTCATGCCTGACATAATGCTCAAAGGGGCACATAAGCCTTTTAAGGTCTTCCTCCTTTACTAAAGCTGGAAAGTCACCATGATCTACAGTTTTCATGTGAATGTAAAAGCCAATAAAAAATGGCCTTTTTGTTCTTAAATCTTACTGAATTGATAGTAACTACCATTGTAGGAAAATTCAAAACATTGCTTGCACAAAAATTAACTTTGAACACATAAGAAGATAGTGTTACTGTGTTATCATGGCTTTGTGATCACAACAGACATATTGTCATCACCTATATTGACTCAAACTTACTTGACAATATCCTGTCACAATTAATTATACATTTTCCGTATTTAATACATAGAAGATTGTATAGATGTATATATGATACAGGTAATACAGTGGTGCACATACCACAAAGATGATCCACCACCACCAGAGGATGATGAGAACAAGGAGAAAAGAACAGATGATATTTGCTCCTGGGATGCTGAATTCCTCAAAGTTGATCAGGGAACACTCTTTGAACTAATCTTGGTATGTCTAGTGTAAATCTTTGAAATGTTTGGATACTTGTTTTCAACAATTAAAATGAATGTATTTGTTTAATACTACTGTGGTACAGTACACTTATGATATAAATGATACACTTAATAAAAAATGAACTTATTAAACTGAACCTTGTCCATTTTAAATTAACAGAGTATTGATTTTGTAACAAACAATAAGACATGTTTGTGCATGTGTTTAAAGATGTTTACTGTTCCTATTTACCATTGTAATTGTGGATTTTTTTTGTGAGTTTCATTAAACTGTTCAAGAATATTTCATTAAATTTTGTGCTTTTTATACGCCCGTTTGAAAAACGGGACGTATTATGGGAACGCCCCTGGCGGGCGGGCGGTCGGGCGGGCGGACGGGCGGTCGGCGTCCAATTTTGTCCGGAGCATATCTCCTACATGTATGGAGGGATTTTAATGAAACTTCATATAAATGTTCACCACTATGAGGAGCAGTGTCGCGCACATGAACCAGGTCTCTAGGTCAAAGGTCAAGGTCACATATAGAGCTCATTGAAAAATGCTTGTCCGGAGCAAAACTTCCACATGTATAGAGGGATTTCAATATTACTTGGCACAAATGTTCACCATTGTGAGGCGGAGTGTCGCGTGCAAGATTCAGGTCCTTGCGGCCAAGGTCAAGGTCACACATAGAGGTCAAAGTTCAGATAAAAATATGAAGATGTGTATATGGACCATTTAGTCATCATTTATTGAGGGATTGTAACACAAATGGTCATTATCAAGACTATGGCTGTGATACATATAATTTAGGTCAATATATACAAGGTCAAGGTCACTAAAGATGATGAAATATCCAGATTTTGTAAATAGAATTTAATCAAAGGGAGACAACAAAGTTATTACTTTGTTCATAAATGACTTACACAATTACTCCCCTTGATCTATTTTCACTTTCAATTCTAAAAATAGAATTTAATCAAAGGGCATGAAATAATCCTCTTTCTTGGACTTGAGTATGTTCTAAAGAATGTAACATTTATTTACACATGTTTCATTCATTGGTCAAGATTCTTAACTGTGATAACTATGGTGTTCTGTAGACTTGGTATTTGTTCATAAAGATCATACAGTAATTACCTTATCAAATGTAAATACTTTCTCATAGAAATTTAATTATATTTTGATTTTCAAGTAAATATCAGTTCAGCTCATTCAAAGATTAAGAATTGTAATGAAATGTATTTCCCTAGAATAAAATCTTAAATCAGAATTTTTTAGTTATTAAATTACATGTACTTTTTATACGCCCGTTTAAAAAAAGATAAAAATATGAAGATGTGTATAGGGAAGATTTAATCATCATTTATTGAGGGATTGTAACACAAATGGTCATTATAATGACTACGGATGTGACACATGTACTTTAGGTCAATATATGCAAGGTCAAGGTCACTAAAGATGGTGAAATATCCAGATTTTGTCTGGAGCATATCTCCTACATGTATGGAAGAATTTTTATAATACTTTATGGAAATGTTCACCACCATGATATGTATTGCTCCATGCATGATCCAGGTCTCCAGGTCAAAGGTCAAGGTCACACTTAGAGCTCATTGAAAAACGCTAGTCCGGAGCAAAACTTCTACATTCATAGGGGGTTTTCAATATAACTTGGCACAAATGTTCACCATTGTGAGGCTGAGTGTCGCATGCAAAATTCAGATCCCTGCGACCAAAGTCAAGGTTACACATAGAGGTCAAAGTTCAGATAAAAATTTGAAGATGGTTATAGGGACCATTTAGTCATCATTTATTGATGGATTGTAGCACAAATGGTAACTATCATGACTACAGGTGTTACACATTTAATTTAGGTTAATATTTGCAAGGTCAAGGTCACTGGAGATGATTAAATATCCAGATGTTGTCCGGAGCATATTTTCTACATGCATGGAGGAATTTTAATGTTACTTTTATAGAATTGTTCACCACCATGAGACGTAGTGCCCTGCACATAAACCAAGTCTCTAGGTCAAAGGTGAAGGTCACAGTTAGAGCTCATAGAAAAACACTTGTCTGGAGCAAAACTTCTACATGCATAGAGGGATTTCAATATAATTTGGCACAAATGTTCATCATTGTGAGGCTGAGTGCCGTGCATAAAATTCAGGTCCCTGCGACCAAGGTCAAGGTCACACATTCTGTGCATATCTTCCCTATTGATTTGTTTTAAGGTTCATTTAACAACACAGTGCCAAGAATAAAAACTTGCTTGCTAGATAACACTTATCCATAATGCCCCCATCTCCATCTAAAGCTTTTTCGTAAACGGGCGTATTTTGTGACTATGGCACCCTTGTTTGTAATTAAAAAAATGCAAAAATGATTTTTTAGGAAGTTGATATTTAGAATTTAATGCAGTAACTGTTAATTACCAGTACAATTACAATATATTGGCATAATGTAAAATTCTTACCTATATTTGTGATAAATTACATTTTTAGGCAGCAAATTACTTAGATATCAAAGGTTTGTTAGATGTAACCTGTAAGACTGTTGCCAATATGATCAAGGGGAAGTCACCGGAAGAGATCAGGAAAACATTCAATATCAAGAATGATTTTACCCCTGCTGAGGAGGAACAGGTTATTTCCTTTTATCATTTGTAATGTGTTAAATTCAATGTAGCTTGCCCAGTGATAAAAGAAAAAATTGTCAGAAGTTTTAAAAAATTGTCATATAGAAATAGGTAGATATAAGCAGCATATAAAAGCCATGTACATTAACCAACATGTATACGGCAATAAGCAGTAAACGGGTGGTCATGATTTGTTATCGTTAATATTTTCACAGTGCTAGTTTGATACACTATATTTTTATGCCCCCGCCATAAAATGGCTCGGGCATATAGTGTTACCCTGATCTGTCATTCTGTCCTTCCGTCATCATCAGTTTCCGTTCATAATCTTAGTAACGATTGCACACATTCAACTCAAATTTGACATATGGATATATCATGAAAAGATAAGGTCAAGTTGGAATTTGGTCATGGTCCGATGATTTTTGACAGAGTTATGCCCCTTGATGAAATTTCTGTTTCCGTTCATAATCTCCCCAATGGAACAACACATTCAACTCAAATTTAACATATGGATATCTTCAAGAAATGCGCATGTCAAGTTCGAATTTGGTCATGGTTCGATGATTTTTGGCAGAGTTATGCGCCTTTCACTTTGAAAATAATATGAAATTTGCAGTTTCCATTCATTATCTCCCCAATGGTTTTACACATTCAACTCAAATTTGACATATGAATAGTCAAAGAAATGCGCAGATCAAGTTCGAATTTGGTCATGGTTCGATGATTTTTGGCAGAGTTATGCCACTTTCACTTTGAAAATGATATGAAATTTTCAGTTTCCGTTCATTATCTCTCCAACGGTATTTCACATTCAACTCAAATTTGACATATGGATATGTCAAAGGAATGCGCAGATCAAGTTTAAATTTGGCTATGGTTTGATGATAGCTGACAGAGTTATCCCTCTTGAACTATGAAAAAAAGGAAATTTTCAGTTTCTGTTCATTATCTCCCCAATGGTTGTATACATTCAACTCCAATTTGAGATACAGATACATCTTAGGAATAAGCAGTTCAAGTTTGAATTTAGTTGTGGTTCAATGATTTTGAACAAAGTTATCACTCTTGAATGTTGGAAAAATTTTGAATTTTCAATTTCAGCACTCATACTTTTGTGAAAATGTATGTAGTCATTTTTTTGGCTACAAATATGCAATATGCAATTTACAAACGATAAAACTTAAACTTTGTATAAAAATGGTTTGTGTTTACATTGAATAGTTTTAAGGGCTTTGAACTTAAAATGAAACAAATAGTTTGTGCAAACAAAGTTGGAACTAAATATTATAACATCTGAAATTTTTGCTGCATGCGGGGGCATCCGTGGCATGACGACACATTTCTAGTCTAATAATACAAAGAAAGTTGGCAGGTACATTAAAGTTACTTTGATGTTTGAAAATATTCAATTGTTATATTCTGAACATTGTGAAATACCAGCCAAGACAGTGACATAAATAAACAGATAAAGTGTTTACTCTAGGACGGGGACACATTTAGGACACCCAGTGATAATAATAGTAATGATATATAAGTATTATTTAACAAATAATACATGGGCTTGAGGGCAATATGCAAGTTTTATTTGTTATATTATACCGAATCTAAATCCTTTCATCCCTTTTGTTGCTTTCAAATTATAATTTATTTGTTCAGTGTGTTAAATATCTCAAAACCTAGTCGGATTTATTATTATTATTTTCAAGCGATACAGCAAAAAAAATCATGCTCTTTTGTTATTCAATTTTTGTTAATCAAATTATACAGGAAAAAAAAAACCGAACTTTAAGATTTAATGTGACGTCATCCAGTCCATATAAGAATTATGGACCGCCCCGGTCTGTATGCGATTTATGGACCGGATGACGTCATATTAAATATAGAAAGGTGTATGCAAATGAGGTATAATATTACAATATATATCACATGAAAATATTGAACCACATAGATACAAATAACACATTTTGATTTTAAATCTTAACTTGTGAAAACCAAAGATAGCATCCTTTGAGATTGAACCCTGTACTTGACTTATATAATTTAAACAACTTGTGTAAATGGTTTTGTACTCCAGCTAGTTGAACATTTTAAAAATTGTAGTTTCATTGGTAGCTTAACACTAAATAGATAGTTTGTGTAGAGCAGGATTGGCATGATGGCCATGTTTCTATGGCTACAATATTACGTATTGTAGAAGCTACTATAGGTACACACTGCTGCCTGTATCAACATTACTCACCTGAGGACTTCCTCCACCAGCTGGAAACTTGTCTTATCACATTTATAGTGTCTGTGTCACATAAACGCCAACCTATCAATCAACTTTTATTTTACATTGTAAAACTTTTCTCTCAGATTTTACTTTGATAATTTTTGCTATCCTTTTGTTTCTTGTTATTTATAAATTTTAGAAAAAAACAATGTCGCTGATAACAGCTACATTTAATAGTTTTGTATTTGTGTCATGTAAGTTTTAAATTTCATTCATTATTATTTGTTGTTGTTTATTTCAGGTGCGTAAGGAGAATGAATGGTGTGAAGAAAAGTGAGCATTCTGTGATTTTAGACATGTGTTAATATATAAAACTGTATTAATTTTCTCTCATCCCCCTATTGTGACAGTAAAATAAATTTCTCCACAGTTTCAACACAAAAAGAGGCCAAAAAAAAGATCCAAGGGGAAAAAAAAAATTTCTTAAATTTAGATTCCATCCATTTATACGGGGTTTTAAAATGTAATATTATTATTATTAATTTATTTTATTGATAAAGATCAACAACTTTAATATAAAATTAACATTTTGGGCATTTCGTAATACATCTTGAAGGAAAAAAGAGATTATTATTTGATTTGATTTTTTTCTCATCATTTTTATTTAAGTTTTAGAGCAATTTGCCATTTACATCTGCATTGAAACATGTAAGCATTTAGTTTATTGTTTATTGGACAGCAGAAGTGTTTAAGTAATATTAAATTCAGTTTAGAAATTTATGTATTCGGTAGATGAACAACATTAGAACTACATTATATATCTGAACATGAACCCTTCACTAATGATTAAGAACTGTGCACCAGACCATTTCTGATTAATTAAAAATTTTCCATTAATGAGAAGAAATTTTCCTTGCCATGCAGGTTTTGTTGAAATATCAAAATTTAAAACTGCAAGCAAATGTTTTGGAAAATATTGTGTGACTCAATAAATATTTATTTCCATTTGATCAATTCTTATGTTGTTGTTTTTACATAAATTTTCTAAAAACTTCCATGATGAATGTCTTGGAAAAATGAAAGTTTAGAAATATTAAAGCTTTTGTGTTGTGAAAATAAAGATATTATACTAAATCATGTAAGGAAGCAATGTTTGAACAAAAAATAATTCCTAAGATATATATATTATAATGATGTAAGACTAGTTTTGCAGAATGTTATAGTGTTAATAATTGTGAAAGGCCCTGCATTCAAGATATTTTGTTTGAAAAGTTTCGGTTATAATGTTGTATAGAAGATCATGACATATTGTTTACTGAAGAAATATTTGACATACAGTTTTCATATAGAATAATTAAATTGAATAAGATTAACTTTTATGTTCAATATCACCAAGCTTAAGATTCCAAACCAGATAATTCTTGATACTGGAGGTTAAAAGATTCCAGATGTTTGGACAAAGTGACGGAGGAGAGTCAAGTGTAGCAGTCACGTGATAAATTGTTAATTAAGTAGAACCAAATGTGAGATTTTTGTGATCTATACTTTTGGAGCTGGCTTGTGGCGGATTTATTCAAAATGAAAAATAAAAAGCCTTTTGTTGTGCCATCAATATGTCTTAAATATATACTACATGTACAAAACTGCTCTAGTTATAATGTCATAAAAATCGACGATGAGAAATTTTCGCACGCGACAAATACTAGCTCCGCATGAATTTATACATGTGATCATTTCCTAATTGTCTCCACAACCTGACTTGATAAGTTTTCTAGTAACTTTCTACCTTAAACCAATGTCCCCTGCATCACACTATAGCAGCTGCTAATATCCGGTGACTGAAAACACCACACAATCGAAAATACTGACTACAGATTACATGAAATATGGGAGGGAGCTATCTGGATATGTCGATTTTCATACACCTGAAGATATTTGTCACCGGCACAGGATTATGATAAGGCATTGTCGGACGTAGTAAGTAGGTTCTGCGTGGTCACTTAAAAAGACATCAATTATTTTGTTTCAATTTGGCATGTAAGTATGCTATATAAAATGTTTAAATTAAAGCACAGCCCAAGTTTGACTTTCGCAGCAATGAACCAAATATTGATTAGTTCACAACGCTTATTTGTGAATGATTTTAATGTTAGTGGTATGCAAGTACATAGAATTTTGTATGTTATATCAAAATACTATTCAAGTTCGATTTTCCCTTGATATGTTCCTTTGCATGCAAAATTTTCGTATTGTTTGCCGGGAGGATTCATGACTTTCAACTCCTTGCCTTTTCCCAATAGTATTTCAGTCATATAGAAGGTAGTCTAGTACTGGTGTAACTCTCCAGGAACGATGGTTAGGAAACTACCCGCCTATATGACTGAAATACTGTTGGGAAAAGGCGTAAAATGAAACAAACAAAACAAACAACTCTTAATTATAATTATAGAGTGAAATTATAGTTCACAATCATAAATGCGCGAGTTAGTCTTGTATGTACTGTTTCATGTCAGTCAAGAGACAATTTAAAGTACGGGTACTGTCAGTGTAGGCAATCGGACAAACTACATGAGTAGTAAAACAAGAGGGTCAATATGACCCTAGATCGCTCACCTGACCCACCGAACTCATCCGAACAACTACCTCCAGTGACCTAGTTTTTCATCCAAGATAACCCATGTTCAAACTCATCCGAGCAATTACCTAGACAAGCATCCTGACCAAGTTTGATGATAATTGAATCAAAAATGTGACCACTAGAGTGTTAACAAGGTTTTTCCATATTTGGGCAGTGTGACCTAGTTTTTCATCCGAGATGACCCATGTTCGAACTTGACCTAGAAATCATCAAAACAAACTTTCAGACCAATTTACAGGATATTTGGATCAAAACAGTAGCCACCAGAGTGTTAACAAGATTTTTCTTTTTTTAGCTCCTATGACCTAGTTTTTCATCCGAGATGACCCATGTTCGAACTCATCCGAGCAATGACCTAGACAAGCATCATGACCAAGTTTGATGACAAATGAGTCAAAAATGTGACCAAGGTTTTTCTATTTTTAGCTCCTGTGACCTAGTTTTTCATCCCAGTGGACCCATTTTCGAACTCATCCGAGCTATCAACTAGATGAGCAAATTTGATGATGATTGAGGCAAAAATGTGACCGCTATCTAGAGTGTTAGTCTTAACTAATTGTAAGTACTGCGCGACGAGATATTGTGCTATTTTAGTGTCCGGGCAATATCTCGCTCAACGTTAAAGCGAGATTCTGCCCCAGAACGAAAACATCTCAGAATCTAGCTTTGGCACGTCAATATATTTTGACTAATTGAGTGTTAACGAACAAGTGTGGACGGACGACAGACGACAGACATTCAACGGCCCTTAAAGCTCACCATGAGCTACTTCAGGTGAGCTAAATAAAAGACCGTCGTGAGAACTATCTGGGATCAAATGAATGAATAGAAAAGAAAGATTTTCACCGATACACCGTGTAATTTTGTTTACTGTGTATGTAATGATTTTCTATTTAATCTCCTTTTAACATTCCTTTTACGTGAACGTGTGTCAATGATGTCAATATATTGAAGCGTGAAAGGACCTTTCTTTTTCTGACGTTACTAGAATCGCGACAGAAACTATGACAGAATCGGTTCCAAATCATCTTAGATCACTTAACAATGAAAGTGCTACATATATTAAGTTTTTAAACAGAACAGAACGTAAAATTCACCTGTTTTGGTTGGATTATAAAGGTTCTCTCGTACGATACGGTGATATACCGCCTGATAGGGGAGTGTCTATGAACACCTACGTGACACATCCTTGGGTAGCTCGCGATGCTGTTACATTGTACCCCATGATGTTCAATGGAAATCAAATATTCTACCCTCAGACTGAAAGAAATGGACAGATATTTAGTCTGATAAATAGAGAAAGAGTTGACATACACATTCCGGGTATTTATATTATTCGATCGTTTTCTGATTGAGGTGGGTTTAATATAAGGCAAAATTGGCCTTGTCCTAAAGCTCACCATTATTACATTGATTTGGATATTTTATTATATATAGGAAACTAAAAAGCTTTTCCTCTGAAACTGCATGTGCAGTGTAGCTCAGAAATTTGGCATGCAAGCATTACCGTATGGTCGTCTACGAAAATTATATGAATCGTGTAGCTGTGGAACAAATTGGTCCCTCCAAGGGGTCAGTTAGTTTACATATATAGGCTTATGTAGAATTTCACATTCTTCTTCACTGAAACTACATTTTTATGACATGTTGGGATAAACAGATAAAACATGTATATTGTATAGTTTGAAATTTCAAGAGGAACAATTGAAAGCACCATGTCAGTTTTCAGTATAACGTATATTAGAATAAAAATATAACCCCCTACACCACCGCGCCCCTGCATGTATAAATCGATCGAAATGTATTCATTAGTATAGAGGACATTAATATTTTGCTAAAATCAGAATGTCATAAACGAAATCTTACAACTAAACCAAATTGTTTCATACGTTCAGAATATGATGGCTTTGTATCTATTTCAGTGTTTCCTCTATTCCGAAGATGTCTAGAAGTTGTTTACCTCCACTTCAAGAGAGAAGCAATATCTTGGACTAATATACCAGCAAATATTAAAGACAATCTTCTTAAAATGTCACCGCATACCGAGTTTAAGGATTACAAGTATTTCGATTCAATGGAATATGAACTGTGTGATGTTGATGATGATGTGGACGATTTCGTTGATGATAATGACGATGGTGAAGATAATGACGGAAATAATTAAGTTTTGATCACATTTGAGATTACATTGTATCATGATATTAGAATAAATAATGAAGATAAAATTTATAATTCTTTATAAAACTATATTTATAAAAATGTTTGTTATTTATCGACTGATGAAGCTAATAAAGCGAAACATGTATTGATATTTAAAATTATGTTGGTTTTTGATCTATTTGTCCTATTTATAAAACTATAGAATTTAGGAAGTTACGGTATTTGTGGGCACTTTCATTTACTAATTTCCATTTAATTGTTGATTTTTCGCTATTTGAATATTGAAATAAATAAATATTGAACTCATTAACCACAGATTAACATGTTATTTAAGTGGTCAACTGGTTTCCTAATTAAGCACAGATTAACGTGGTATTTAAGTGGTTAACTGGTTTCTTAATTAACCACAGATTAACGTGGTATTTAAGTGGTCAACTGGTTTCTTAATTAACCACAGATTAACGTGGTATGTAAGTGGTCAACTGGTTTCTTAATTAAGACGTTAGCTGCAAGATTGACATGTTATATTGTGACATTCTATGATATCATAGAAATTCTCTGACCTTCTGAACATTTCATTAGTTGATAATAGGAACGCGGTATTGAAATGGCGTGGTCCGGCCGTACAACCGTCCGTCTGATTTTCCTGAATTTTGGTAGGAATGACTAGATGGATATATGGATAGAGGGGATAAGGAAGTAGGAAGATCATTTTCACCCAAGGGTTTTTGAGCTAAGGCCCTTTGTTACTTAAAATGTATGTTAAACTATATATGTAACTGTATTGCCTTAGATTTTTAGGATCTTAGTAGTGACCGTATGCAATTTTCTTGTACATGTATGATACATGTTAATCTAATAATTATTTAGCTAAATGAGTTGAGTTTAAATTATGTTCATTCCTGATCTTTTTAGATTCAATGAATTTGAGAATAAATTTGCATGTTTTACTGCACTTTACCACATTCAATACATTTATTTTACACAATTTCATAACAATATTTTAATATCATTTATAATTTAATTCAAATCAGCAATATGCACTAAATTTCACGATCATGTCTTTATTAAGGTTAAAACTATTCACAATCTAGCTTCACGAGTATAGAATATTTACAAGTTTGGCTTGTCGTTTCGAGAGCTAAGCCAAGCAAGAAACTACTCTGGTCTGACGGTAACAACATAAATACTGTATAATGAAATGTATCTTTTCTTATTCCTGGACATACACCATAATGTGCAAGGGTTATCTCCTATTGGTAATATTGGTGCTGCGCTGTAACAGCTCTAATTAAGTCTTCTTTCTTTGGTTTGATAACATATTCATGTAATATTCGTTTCCGTGAAAATTTTGGTGGAAAACTACCGTCTGTAACATATGAGTTAATAACTTCACTCAACCCGTATTTCAGAAGAATACAATAAATGTCAGGCAGTTGCATTACAAATCTGCAACAATTACTTTTCAAACCCTATATTATTTACAAAAAATACTTGTGATGCAAGTTATGTTTAAGATCAGATCAAATCAAAGAAAGACACTATATATACATACTTTGAACTTAGCATAAATTTGTCATGCTTACAGGCATTATTGTATCATTCGAAGGGAACTGAGAATTCTTTTGTTATGTTTAAATGAAATAAAAATGAAACGATAGTCAAACATTCGTTACGATTACGATGAACCAAACAGGATAGTGACATTTTATGAGTGTAGGACAAAAGCCCCCCCCCCCCCGGACGAAAGCCCCCCATCTAAAAATGACAAAGTGGACAAAAGCCCCCCCCCCCCCCCCCCATCAAAAATACAGGTAGGACAAATGCCCTCCCCTATCTTTTTTCACATGCCTAGGTGCTCAAATTCATCAAATTTAAATAAAAATGAAAAGAATTTGTTTTAATTTTTATTTATAATGTATATATTGAAGTGATAACAAAGTATATGATAACAGATGAAATAATGCATGCATGCGATACTGAATTCATAGCTTTTCACACAAGGGTCAGAAGAGTAGTAATGTTTTAATCACTTTTGTAAAGGGATCAAATTAATATCTTTAGCACTATGTCACCTACATGTGATGTCCATACATATCTTTTAAACACATAAAAAACACAACTTTAATACACTATATGTAAATTTAATTGACCATTGGGTGGTGGGGGCTTTTGTCCTACCTTTACTTTTTTATGGGGGGGGGGCTTTTGTCCTATGTGTAAATTTCATGGGGGGGGGGGGGCTTTTGTCCACCTTGTCATTTTTAGACGGGCGGGCTTTCGTGCGGGTGGGGGGAGGGGGGGCTTTTGTCCGTATCTCACATTTTATATCTGTAAATCATATACATGTGATGACAGTGATCTGTAAAAATACACACAATCATTAACATGGCAAATTCTCATGCGTGACAGTGTACTCTAATTTGTTCATATCTATTAGCATTTGTGTTGGGACAGATTGTCTAAAAGTAAATAACATATGTAAATTTTCAATATTGCAGCTTTTCAAGAGCCTTCATAATATAAAATTTTAATAAAATAAAAAATGTAAGGTGAATAAATGAGTGGATACAACTTATGTTAATTCTTCATTTCCTGTTTTGACAATAAATGTACACATGTACATATATAAAGGCACCTTATGCCCCAGAAAGGCCTTTAGTATCAAGGAGGATGCTACGGCGTCCGTAGTCCGTCGTCATGCGTCAACATTCATCCTGTTAGGCAGAATTATCTCAAATTACCGTTGGTCTGTAGCATCCTTGTGACAGTCACTGCTCATATCATTTCAATTGACCCTTTTTAGGGGTAAACAGAGCTAAATATAGAAAACTTTTAAACATCTACTGAACTAATTGATGGATGATCACCAAACTTTGTCTGTAGCATTCTTAGGTAGTCTTTTGTTAAATTTGCTGTATTAATTTGATTGGCCTATTTTAGAAGCCTATAGAGCTAAACTAGAAAAATCTTTAAACATTTTCTTCTACTGAACTAATTGATGGATGATCGTAGCATTCTTAGGCCATCTCTTATCAAATTTACTCATATTAATTTGATTGGCCCCATTTAGGGCCGCTAAAGCTAAGATAGAAAAACCTTTGAACATCTTCTACTGAACTTATTGATGGATGATCTTTAGAATTATTAGGTAGTCTTTTATCAAAAGGCTCCAATATGAAAAGGAAATTAGAAAGCATGAGTTGGTTTCAACATATTTTTATTCAAGGTAATATATACATGTTAATAATTTACAATTTAAGCAGAAAGGAATTGGACCGAGAGCTACAATAGCTCATGGTAATCCTCTCCTTTGAAAGCATGAGTTGACATGCTTACCTTTGCCAGATGCACAGTAACAATGAACTTGGGCCATTTGTGACAGGTTCCTTTTTTATTATAAAGAATAAAGTGTCGTGAAACTATTCAACTAGAGGGGCAAGTTGAAGTTTTCCTATTGTAGTTTCCAGAAAGTTACTCATTGGCCAAATACCATTCTTTGCTTCTGTTGGTTTTTGGCAATTAGTACGTGCAGTTTTAGTGATATAGTATGGAAGATGAAATACTACTTTGTTTTCATTTTACGACTTTTATGTTAAATTATTTCACAATCGGTGGTATTTTCTTAGGTGATAGGCATCTAACATGCTCTAGAACCATTAGCTTAATGTTGTTACCCTTTCTAAAGAAGGAAACCTATGTACGTTTCTGAGAAATAATGTGCCTAGCAACTACATGTATATTCGTAGATAACGAGGAATGAGACATGCAGTAAAAAAGTACACGATCTACCCTAGAGAGAGAGAGAGAGTACATTCAACACATATTTTATTAGAAATACAAATGTACCACGAATGTCATCATATTAACTATGCACTGTCATAGGAACAAAAGTAGACTTTAATTAAGGTATCAACTATGTACCTACAATGTATCAACTATGTACCTACAATGTATCAACTATGTAACTACAATATACATAGAGGATATTGAATGAGTGTAGTTTAATACTAAATTTATTGAACGAGTTGAATAAAATCATATTATGCGAGCCTCTGGCGAGCATAATATTGTTTTATTCAACGAGTTCAATAAATTTAGTATTGAATCTACACGAATATAATATTCTATTTATCACATAATATAAAATAAGAACAGTAAACTGTAAAAATGAGTAATTTTTCAACGACGCGCTTATAGTGTAACGCTAACATTAGCGCGCTTTAACGCTATGTTTCTATATAGCGCAAATGACGTCACGTCAAAGTGTTATTACACTAGTGTAATATCGTTTTTATTAAATGGCTTTATTACACTCTTGCGCCGCGGTTTATGTGATAAATGTATTTAATAACATGGACAGAATATACATATAATATATATGATTGTTATGAATATCGAAATTTCAATGATATTATTGTTTATCCGGAAAAATTGAACACATCTTGGTAGGGTCTTTATTATGATGACATTTAATACACTGCTAGAAAAGGCATGACAAGTCTCCACATACACATAGAAATAATTAAGTAGGAACTCGGACGTAAAATATAACTTCCACTTTCTTCGTTCACTGCAAGACTTTCCTCAGTAAGTACGATACGTTCACTTGTCACTGATGAGTTGTTTGTTGACTGTTTTTCTGTTTCATTTGTGACATCGTTTGTTTCATCAGACAGCTCAAATACGTAGTCGGTTATCACTTCTTTCTCTGAAAATGATAATAAAAAATGAGAAATAAAGCTGTTTTTGTGTTCATCTCGTCTATCATATCTACCAAAATTAATTATTTCATACACGCATTAAAACCTAACAGTTTTGAAATGCTAAATAGATTAACTCGAGATGTTACCTTGACGTCAAAATAATAAATGTATATAATTATTTCTCTGAAAAAGAACCGTTCTTTGTTTTAAGCATGATTATATTCTCATAAAATGTCAATGTTGCAATAAGATGAATATAAATAAAGAACACAAAAAGCGAGGTTCACCGATAATGGATTGGAGCTGCTTTACGAGGGAGCATAGTGACAATTGAGTCAAATAATTGCCGTTTGTTCGGAGTCTAACTCAACATTGGGTACCTAATTTTGTGGCCAACTTTAACAATAAAAATCACAATTGACTTAAAGTAACGCAAACGTTGCAGATTAAGTCCTTTCACAACAATTACTTTGATATATTATACATATGACAAAAACAAGCTAATTCTTACATATCAGTTATACAAGTATACCAAATCCTTCAATTGATCAATGAGAATATGTCATTCAACCTTGTAAATTTTAAAGCGTCTTATAACAATAGAATACTGACATTCCACATTATTTTGCTATTTTTGGGCTTTTTTTCTAAGAATAAAATGAATATAAATGTACCTATTTTGCAGCTTAAAGCTATCAAAGGATCATCTCTTTTCGAAAAGGCATCCATGAAGAACTCCGCTGCTTTCCTCGAACAGTGATTCGCAAGAGCATTTGTTAAACATTTTTCCATTTCTCTATACGACCTGTCACAAAATGATAGAAATTTAATAGAAATTTCTAAGCCATATTATATTTCCATGCAAACTGGAACACTTATTAAGCTCTAGTTTTTTTTTATTTCCATTAAATTACTTTTAAAAAGTTAACTTCATTGAAATAACTTTAAAACATTAAAATAATAACGCGCATGATAAATTGTCAACTTATTATATCATTTGGATTTAATTTCTTCTCATTGTATCTGTATGCTTCTTGACGTTGAAATTGACCCATTTCGTAATATTTATGCAAGTTTATCAACGCTATCGGGAAACGCCAATAAATACCTGCAACTGTCATCCCCGGCGCTTAGTTGATTTACGTTGGTAGCCATGCAGTCGTGGTAGGCAGATTGGAAGTTTTTATTTGTTCTACACCGTGCATATTTCCCTTCAAACTCTGAAAGCAAATTTTTTCTTATGAAACACTGATGCATGTAATTGTAAATTTATATACTAGGTAGGCTTTACAGCTCCTTTTTATCCATTTTATCTTTCTTGACATAAGTAATGTGATATATGTTTGCACATCCCAAGTTATTTCTCCCATAAATTTCAGCTTACATTACTTACCTACATTGATAAAATATATCTCTCTATGGCAGTCAATTTATATTTCAATTTACACCAGTTACCAACTCTAATGTTACATTTGTATCTTTATGCTTACATCATTTACCTATTCTGATGCTATATATTTTAGTTTCTGTTATGCTTACATCATTTACCCACTCTGATACTATATATTTTAGTTTCTTTATGCTTACATCATTTACCCAATCTGATATTATATGTTTTAGTTTCTTTATGCTTACATCATTTACCCACTCTGATATTATATGTTTTAGTTTCTTTATGCTTACATCATTTACCCACTCTGATATTATATGTTTTAGTTTCTTTATGCTTACATCATTTACCCACTCTGATATTATATATTTTAGTTTCTTTATGCTTACATCATTTACCCACTCTTATATTATATATTTTAGTTTCTTTATGTTTACATCATTTACCCATTCTGATATTATATATTTTAGTTTCTTAATGCTTACATCATTTACCCACTCTGATATTATATGTTTTAGTTTCTTTATGCTTACATCATTTACCCACTCTGATATTATATATTTTAGTTTCTTTATGCTTACATCATTTACCCACTCTGATATTATATATTTTAGTTTCTTTATGTTAACCTATATTTTAGTTTCTTTATGTTTACATCATTTACCCACTCTGATATTATATGTTTTAGTTTCTTTATGCTTACATCATTTACCCACTCTGATATTATATATTTTAGTTTCTTTATGTTTACATCATTTACCCATTCTGATATTATATATTTTAGTTTCTTTATGCTTACATCATTTACCCACTCTGATATTATATGTTTTAGTTTCTTTATGCTTACATCATTTACCCACTCTGATATTATGTATTTTAGTTTCTTTATGCTTACATCATTTACCCACTCTGATATTATATATTTTAGTTTCTTTATGTTAACCTATATTTTAGTTTCTTTATGCTTACATCATTTACCCACTCTGATATTATATGTTTTAGTTTCTTTATGCTTACATCATTTACCCACTCTGATATTATATATTTTAGTTTCTTTATGCTTACATCATTTACCCACTCTGATATTATATATTTTAGTTTTTTTATGTTAACCTATATTTTAGTTTCTTTATGTTTACATCATTTACCCACTCTGATATTATATATTTTAGTTTCTTTATGTTTACATCATTTACCCATTCTGATATTATATATTTTAGTTTCTTTATGTTTACATCATTTACCCATTCTGATATTATATATTTTAGTTTCTTTATGTTTACATCATTTACCCATTCTGATGTTATATATTTTAGTTTCTTTATGTTAACCTATATTTTAGTTTCCTTACGTTTACATCATTTACCCACTCGGGTTCTATATAATCCAGATTCTCACTCTGGTATTATATATGAATATTTCAGATTCTTTATGTTTACCTATATTTTAGTTTCTTTATGTTATATACATCATTTACCCACTCTGATATTATATATTTCAGATTATTCATGTTTACATTACTTAACCCATCTGGTATTATATATTTTGGTATATTTGTGGTTACATTACTTACCTTCCTGATTCTATACATCTTATAGTGCACATAAGGGCACCCAAAGTTTTACTCCATCAGGTAAACTAGAAAGGTCGCCATATGACCCTTGTGTGTTTGACTTAAAACAGTCATACAATACAAATAATGCACGATTTATTATCTTTATTATTTTTACCATAAGGTCTATTATTTCAAACTTACCTTCCCTGTGTTTGCATAAGTAGCTGACAAATTGTTTGAGGCCCTTCCAGTGTGCAGTTATAGAATTACAGTACAGTGGTATAGCATTAGTTACACATGTATCCATCTCTTCAACGGTGAGAACACCTTTGAAACTAAAAAATAAATAAACAAACAAGAGCATGATAATATGATATGATTTAAGAACAACGGTATGTTAAGTTTTAACCAAAATCAGGGTTACTTCCAATGAATGTATTAAAACTATGTAAAAGACTTATTTTATGTTACTAGAGAAAATTGAATTTGCTAGATTTGAACTCGTATGCAAACTAATCAAAGGAATATAAAACCAAAATCTACATGTAAAACATGAATGAATAATCAAATTGAAATTATATCGAATATTTCAACTAAATGTGACCTATAAATATAAATTAATCGCATTAACCCATTAGAAACTGATTAATATTCTATACGTAGTCTTTTAATTTTAAAATACGTTTATAATCATAAATATTGCGCATGCAATGTCAAATAAGAAAGCTACCGTTATAATTCATTTTGTGAAAACATAGATTTTATAAGGAGTTATTTTTTTCGGAGATCGGTTTGACTTAATGTAAAAACTACAGAGTGAGTAGTTTATATTTGTATACAGTTCATGAATACTCGACATTACATAGCATTAAAGATAATAGACTCTAATGGGCATCAATAAGATTGTCTTCATTTTGGACATACTCAATTTACAATGTGACTTAAAGTAAATGTGATCATTGCTTTTAACACGTTTTTCATCTTCAATAAAAGCATGCCCCCCTTTTCACAGGCTTAAGAATGGCACATCTTTTCTACAAAAATCAGAATCCATGTGAGAAAAATCTAATAAAGTTTAAGTTAAAACATCTTCAGATATATTTATACAAGTTGTAAAAATATATAACACTTTTAACATCTTGATTTTTTTCTATAACACATTGATTTTTGCTTGTAAAGGGTTTTTAACTTGCATTGAAATATCATTTGATCTAAAAAAAATCGTATTTTGCACAAAACAAATATATTGGCTAATTATGTGTGAAATAATGTTAACATCAATAAAAAGACACTCAAACATAAGCTGCCTGAACCGGGATTCGAACGCAGATCACATCCCTAGCCAGCATGTTACCCCTGAGTCTCAGGCCTTTTTTACTCCTGAGCCACACACTTTAAATATCGTTATAAGGAAAAGGTCAGAAGCAAACAAATAATTCTTAATTTAGAATTTCCATTAGGGTTTGTAATCCTTAACAGGAAATTTAGCCTTATAGAAACGTAAATATTTTTTCTTCTTAAGAAGGACTATTAGTTTTTTTAAATGTTTTGATAATTGATTTAGAGCATGTTAAAGTTTTTTTCGCCTAAAGGAAGTAGCGCTATCCGTAAATAATTAATCATATTAATACCAAATGTTTGACTTCAATACAAAGAAATGTACTACTTGCCAAAAGAAAAGGTAGCAAAAGATGGTCAAGGATATGCTTTGGTGAAACAGTAAACAGTAAACAGTGAAACATGAAAAATGCTTTTGAGGAAAAAAAAAGTACGGCGATTTTTTTTTTTTTTTTTTTTGGAAATTTAATTTCCTAAATATTTTTTAAGTCTGGCAACTTGAAATGCTAGGTCAATGCATTTATAGGTTAGTTAATGAGAAGCACACCACGAAACACCAATAATGTGGCGTTTAAATGAATCTTTTGATACACAGTGCCAAAAAAATCGCCATTTGTTTTGAAATATTTTTAAGACCGAAACCAACAAATACAGATATTTATTTCATCAAATTCTTCCATATAAGGTGAATTAAAATTATATTGTATAGTTGTACAATATAAATTTGTTATAAAGTCTACGGACAGCTGAATTTAATACTAATTAAAAACATTTAAACAATTTAGTGTTCTCTAAGTTGCTGGATATAAAATTATACTGGCTAATTATACATGTTGTGTCGATAATTTGATAGACTGACATGGACAGGTCACTTAACGACCCAAAATCCTACTCACATACATATTTCATCAATCAGCGTCACGTCTTTCAGGAACTGTGCATGCCCTCGGCTTAACTCTCTAACTACACGCCATTTGTTTAAACACTGCATGTAATTTGCGTATTCATTTTTGTTGTCACATTGGTATACCCTCTGTCCAGCAATGGCGTTACACACAAAGATCAATGCTTAAATTGAAACAAAGAACAATCGGTTAAAATAAAATGGTAAGTTTTTAAAGAAACTGACAACTCTCAATATAATTGATAAATCTTGAGAATGTGACAATCTGACAATCAGACCATCATTTCTTTAAATATTTGACTGTATACAGGTGCCATCATTTTGAGCATAATAATTAAGCTGTTTGAATAATAAAGGAAACAATGTTTCAATGGAGGTAAAGCATTTTACCCTCAGAATATTTGTTCAATATCTCTACTTATTACAATAAGAAACATGCCGATATTAAACCCTGGGTATGTGATATAAAATAAAGTAATGTAAAACAATTCTCTGAAAGACATAAAAACATTTATTCATGTTGATTTCGATCTGAGAAAATGCTTCATATTGTCTTCGTCTCAATTATAACTAAATACGCGAGCTGTCTGCATTTTTTTTACATTCATATAGGTTATTATACATTTTACTGTACAATACGGGAATATATTTGGACGAGTTCACAGCTTGAAAAGTCATATTGGACGAGCCGATAGGCGAGTTCAATATGACTTTTTAAACTGTGTACGAGTCTAAATATATTCCCGTATTGTACAGTAAAATGTAAAATAACATTTTTATTATATATATTTCGTTTAATTTGAAATATCATCATCATTAAAACCACCACCAATATCATTATCCACACTACCACTATTATCAGCAACAAAACCACTACCAGTATCAACAACACCATCAATATAACAACCAAAACCACCACCACTACCAACATCATCAATAATAGTCCTGTGACACCTGTCAATTTTTATATTTTTAGAAGAAAAGGTAATAATTGTATACATACATAAGTTTAAGGATTTGACTGATACAACGAATACTTTTTAAACGTTACAGTATTTATTGATTTATCATTTACTGTGAGTTCAAGAAAATTACATTTAAATTGCCTAATCAAATTATACAATGTAACAACTTACATTTATCATTAATATCTGTTTAATAAACACAGTTAATCCGGAAAATATCACATTGACACCCCTTATCTCAATTATCACATTGACATAGAGGATATTTGTTTAATTCAGTGTAAGATCGCAATATAGTTCACCCAGTGAGCACCAAAAGGTATATTTCACGAGTGGCGCAGCCACGAGTGAAATATGAACTTTTGATGTTCACGAGGTGAAATATATTTCAGTCTTACTCTGAGCTAAACAAATTTTCTTTTTATTATATGCAAAGAAACGTTTAATAAAACACTTATAGAGGATATTGAATAAGTGTATGTTCGATACTGAATTTATTTCACGAGTTGAATAAAAATATATTATGCGAGCCTCTGGCGAGCATAATATTATTTTATTCAACGAGTGCAATAAATTTAGTATTGAACTTACACGAATTTAATATTCTATTTATCACATACCCAAAATAAAGACCGTTTAAAGTGAAATAAGAGTCATTTTTCATTGACGCGCCTATAGTATAACGCTAACATTGAGCGCGTCTTTACATTATGTTTGTATACCGCTAATGACGTCACGTCAAAATATATGCACGGCCGTGCAATACCATATTTACGGAGTCGCAAAATCGGCACGGGTGTGTGATAAATAGAGGATATTAAATGAATTTATTGCACGAGTTGAATACAAATATATTATGCGAGCCTCTGGCGAGCATAATATTATTTTATTCAACGAGTGCAATAAATTCAGTAATGAACTTACACGAGTTTAAAGGGACGCCACTGAGGTTTTTTGACATGATGGGACTGAAAGTATTTTTTCCAGATAAATGTTCCATTTGATGTAGGTGTAGACCACGAAACTTTGTGCAAACTTTCAGATCATTCGCGCACTTCGTTTTATTCATAATAATTATTGAAATTGTAAAAAATGACCCAAAATGAAAAGCGTTTAAACGCTTTTCACTCCAATTAGGCTAAGAAAAGCATAAAACTACGATTTTCGATTTATTTTAAAGTATATTTCTTAACTACCTTTGCATATGATTATGTTTAAAGCGCCCAGTTCATTTATGTTAGAAATTCTAATGTTATGTTTTTTAACCTCAGTGGAGCCCCTTTAATATTCTATTTATCACATACCCAAAATAAAGACCGTTTAAAGTGAAAATATAGTCATTTTTTATTGACGCGCCTATAGTTTAACGCTAACATTTAGCGCCTATTTACACTATGTTTGTAAACGCTAATGACGTCCCGTCAAAATATATGTACGGCCGTGCAATACCATTTTTACGGAGTCGCTAAATCGGCACGGATGTGAGATAAATAGAGGATATTCAAGTTTTTTCTATAAATACATGATTTATTTTCATCGAGTGGTATGAAAATAAATATTTCATGAGTGGCGGTAGCCACGAGTGAAATATGGTAATTTTCATGCCACAAGATGAAAATAAATCATGTATTTATAGAAAAAACTTGAATTTTCTGTTTATTATATACATTTTTCTCTCTTTTGACATTAAAATTTGAAAGACTTTCCCTTAAATTTTGTGTACTGGCAGAATTTAAAAGAAAGTAGTCCGGCAAGACACCAGTGAAAATACGGAAAATATGTTTCACTGCAGTGAAAAATAAATTTTTACAGTGAAAATACGGAAAATGAAAATACGCATTTTATTTCATCAATATTTCTCACTATTTCATTTATAAGTATATAATAAAATAGTATAACGTTACGCTAACATTTAGCGCGTCTAAACGTTATGTTTATATAACGCAAATGACGTCATGTCAAAATATATGCACGGTCGTTTAGTTCACATGTACCCAAACGTCCAATATGAAAATAATATATTTTTGGATCAAATACGGGAATATATTGGACGGTCACGAGGTACAATGCAGATTGACAATTGCTTAGATTTATTAGATATAATAAATGTATATCATTCATGACTGTTGCATTTTGTTAATTGTTTTCTTTTTAAAGAATAATCTACAGATTGTCCTACGTAGAGTTATAAACTCCATATTAGGGTTTTTATCTCCTGCGTAGGATATATCCTTTTTATAGAACTTAATAAATTAGCACTAGGACGCTCCGAACTGTTCATAACTCAAGGCGCAATATTGAATAAATATTTTTGCATTTATAAAATATAAATGTGTAATTGCAACAATAATATTTTTACCAAAATATAGAACATAAATACTTTTATACAATACAACTGCGGAATTTTACCACATAAATACTTATATTTTAAACATGAATAAGAAAATATATATAAATTAGTTTTTATATCACAAAAGCATTTTTTTTTAATTTTTGCAACGTTCCACACGCCACACATGTCCACCAGTTTAACAACATTAGATTAGAGAGTCGGCCCTTCTCATATTATCTTGATAATCGTAAAAGAAGTTCATACTTGCTCCATAACTGGTACACATTAGCAGTCAATAGAATAATACTTAAACAAAACTATGGTGGCATATTTCTGCCACCAGATAACCATATAACTAACTAGTTAATTAAGAGGTTAACTAGTTACGTAACTAGTTAACCTCTTAATTAACTAGTTAGTTATCAGTTTAACTAGTTACGTAACTAGTTAACCTCTTAATTAACTAGTAAGGTATCAGGTCAACTAGTTACGTAACTAGTTAACCTCTTAATTAACTAGTTAGGAATCAGGTTAACTAGTTACGTAACTAGTTAACCTCTTAATTAACTAGTTAGTTATCAGGTTATCTGGTGGCAGAAATATGCCACCATACAAAACATCAAACACTGACTAAACTTGATTTTAGAAAGAAAGAAAGAAAGAAATGAATGAAAGAAAGAAAGAAAGTTCATATTGATTTGGAAGTATATATAAACACATACTATATTGTCATACAAATCTAATACATATAAAACACACAAAATTGCAACAAAAATTAAATTATCTTCAAAAATTATTTGCAATATATTAATAATTTACAGATGATATTTGAATTAATAACAAGATTTAAATAAAAATTTCATGAGTGGCTGTAGTCATGAGTGAAATATGATAATTCATTCAAGATAAAAATAAATCCTGTAGAATTTTTTGTTAGTTTAAACAATATTTTATTGATATTCCACACATTTACATAATAAATTACATAAAATAAAAGATTGAGTAGGAAGCTTGTAAAGCTTTTTTGAAAACTCTCTCTAATTTTTTGTTAATTACATATATATATTTTTCTCTTTTTTTTGTGACATTTCAATTTGAAAGACTCGCCTTAATTACATTTTGTGTATTGGCTGAATTTAGAAGAAAGTAGTCCGGTAGAACCAGTGAAAATACGGAAAATATGTTTCATTGCCACAAAAATGAATTTTTATAGTGAAAATACGGAAAATGTAAATACATGTACGCATTTTATTTCATCAATATTTAATTTCTAAATATATAATAAAGTAATACATTATTAATACTTCAAAAACAAATGTTGCTATATTTAAAAGAGGAAGTTTTCATTAATATAGGAATGGAAAAGCCTTAAAGCCTGTAATGTAAAAAGTATTATTAACAAGGTAGAATTGTCAGACTAACTATATATTTCTTTACCATAAAGTTAGTCTTTTGTTTGTTCTATTATAAGTTATGCATGTCCTGTATGGGGATTTTCTTAATCAAAAGATGAAGGTGTACATTTTAAATTTTGCAAATATATTTAAGGTGCTAAGAAAAGTTCCAGCAAAAGTGTTGTGTACGGAGAATGGGGATGATACCTAAACAGATCGATATGTTCAAATCTTAAAACAATGGTTGAGAATTTCTACTACAAATAATATTATTTTAAATAAAATATATAATAACTCATAAAAATAATGTTTAAATGGAGTCAAAAATTGGAAAAACGTCACACATTGGTTTAGTATTGACCCATTGTAACTTATCGAAATATCCTCCTTATATAGGCAAATGTACAAAAAGAATTGTAGATGCCCCATTTTCGACTGAAATTTTGGTGAAGCTTTGTGTACGACCAGATATTAACTTGCTGGTTAAAAAAACAAAACAAAAACAAAAAACAACAACAAAAATTAAAAAAAAATAAGTTAGTCGTGCGGAATATGAAACAGAAATACACATGTTCGTTCTTAACGTTACAATATATTACTTATCTTACCAAAGTATTGTGTGCATTCTTAAAGCTTGAAGCTATCAAATCTTCTTATTATAAAAAAATTCTCAGAGGCAGCAAACAAAATATGTCTAAACTTAAGTTTAGTTTTGCCGAATGTTTAGGAAATAATGTGCAACTTATATAATAGTTCTCCGCTTCGCATGACATTTTCCTTTGAATATTGAGAAACATGAAGGGGAAAAAAAGAGAAAAAAGAAGGCTATGTATGTTTGTAGACTATGTATGTGTTTAAATCACCGATGGTTCCTTCGAATCAAATAACTGCATGTACTTTTTTTAGTAATGATTAGCTACACTTTGAAAAAATAATATTATTTATATCATCACTGTTATACATTTTATTTCATACAATTTTCAGATTTTTCAAAATTAAAACACGTTTTTTTTTTACTTTTTTTTTTGTCGTTTTTCCGAAGAAAAATAAAAGAGAAAGGAATTGAATAGAAATAGTAAAGAGAGAAAAAATAAAGGAATACTATCGCACCCGTTGTTATACGAGTTTTATTATCAAGTTTTATTATGATTTGAAAATTAACTATTTATTCAAATAAAATAAATCATGAATTTCCTACCTCTGAATTACCATTTTAATACATAAAACAGCCAATACATCAGAATACTGTATCATTGGTACACTACTACACTCTTGGTAAGACAAATGAAGAAATGAATATAGTAAAATATAATTATAACATACCAGTTAGTACCGAAATAAACATGATGAAATAAAAATTACATCCAATACAATGTTCATAACTGTCGCGCTATTTAAGACTATAAATGTTTCACCTCGGTGTCAGTCTGTTTACCCACTTATTTAGATATGTTTACACTTTTTTTTACCCTGACAGAGGAGGAGAAGCTCTTGACTAAATAAAAACTGAAATACTGTTTAAAGTGTTAACATCCTGTTAAAGTGTCTTTGTATTTGTAAACTACGCTTAACGCATGTTTGGTGGACCAAAACAAAAGCAAAGGAGAAGATCAAGGCCAACAAGGATCTGAAGGGAGAGAGAGCAAAAAAACCCAAAAATCAAAAACAAACGAACAAAAAACACACACACAATTTTGGGGGAAATCAATTAAGAAGAGAACATTATCGCAAACTTAGTTTTCTGCGTCAAAATCTTCATTTGATTAAATTTACAATGAAAATTAGGAATCATGATAACATGAATAACATGTGGTTCATTTCTTTATGTTCGTTTTGTATATCAAGGGGTGATCATTCTTTATATTCGTTTGGTATATCAAGGGGTAATCTTTCTTTATGTTCATTTGGTTTATCAAGAGGTAATCTTCCTTTATGTTCATTTGGTATATTAAGGGGTGATCATTCTTTATGTTCGTTTGGTATATCAAGAGGTAATCATTCTTTATGTTCGTTTGGTATATCAAGGGGTGATCATTCTTTATGTTCGTTTGGTATATCAAGGGGTGATCATTCTTTATGTTCGTTTGGTATATCAAGGGGTGATCATTCTTTATGTTCGTTTGGTATATCAAGGGGTGATCATTCTTTATGTTCGTTTGGTATATCAAGAGGTAATCATTCTTTATGTTCGTTTGGTATATCAAGGGGTAATCATTCTTTATGTTCGTTTGGTATATCAAGGGGTGATCATTCTTTATGTTCGTTTGGTATATCAAGAGATAATCGTTCTTTATGTTCGTTTTGGTATATCAAGGGGTGATCATTCTTTATGTTCGTTTGGTATATCAAGGGGTGATCATTCTTTATGTTCGTTTGGTATATCAAGGGGTGATCGTTCTTTATGTTCGTTTAGTATATCAAGAGGTAATATTTCTTTATGTTCGTTTGGTATATCAAGGGGTGATCATATTTTATGTTGTTTTGGTCAAGAGATGATCATTCTTTATGTTCGTTTGGTATATCAAGGGGTAATCAGCCTTTATGTTCGTTTGGTCAAGAGATAATCATTCTTTATGTTCGTTTGGTATATCAAGGGTTGATCATTCTTTATGTTCGTTTGGTATATCAAGGGGTGATCATTCTTTATGTTCGTTTGGTATATCAAGGGGTGATCATTCTTTATGTTCGTTTGGTATATAAAGAGGTAATCATTCTTTATGTTCGTTTGGTCAAGAGATAATCATTCTTTATGTTCGTTTGGTATATCAATGGGTGATCATACTTTATGCTCGTTTGGTCAAGAGATGATCATTCTTTATGTTCGTTTGGTATATCAAGGGTTGATCATTCTTTATGTTCGTTTGGTCAAGAGATGATCATTCTTTATGTTCGTTTGGTATATCAAAGGGTGATCATACTTTATGCTCGTTTGGTCAAGAGATGATCATTCTTTATGTTCGTTTGGTATATCAAGGGTTGATCATTCTTTATGTTCGTTTGATATATCAAGGGATGATCATTCTTTATGTTCGTTTGGTATATCAAGAGGTAATCATTCTTTATGTTCGTTTGGTATATCAAGGGGTGATCATTCTTTATGTTCGTTTGGTATATCAAGAGGTAATCATTCTTTATGTTCGTTTGGTATATCAAGGGTTGATCATTCTTTATGTTCGTTTGGTATATCAAGGGGTGATCATTCTTTATGTTCGTTTGGTATATCAAGAGGTAATCATTCTTTATGTTCATTTGGTCAAGAGATGATCATTCTTTATGTTCGTTTGGTATATCAAGGGTTGATCATTCTTTATGTTCGTTGGTATATCAAGGGATGATCATTCTTTATGTTCGTTTGGTATATCAAGAGGTAATCATTCTTTATGTTCGTTTTGGTATATCAAGGGATGATCATTCTTTATGTTCGTTTTGGTATATCAAGAGGTAATCATTCTTTATGTTGTTTGGTATATCAAGGGGGTGATCGTTTCTTTATGTTCGATTTGGGTATATCAAGAGGTAATCATTCTTTATGTTCGTTTGGTATAATCAAAGGCGGGTTGAGGATCATTCGTTTTATATAAGGGGTATTTTCGTTTGGGTATATCAATCGGGGTGATATTCTTTATGTTCGTTTTGGTATATCAAGAGGTGGAATCATTCCCTTTATGTTCGTTTTTGGTATATCAAAGGGGGTGATCATTCTTTATGTTCGTTTTGGTATACTCAAAGAGGTAATCATTTCTTTATGTTCCCGTTTTGGTATAATCAATGGGGTGATCGTTCTTTATGTTCGTTTGGTAATATCAAGAGGTAATTTCATTCCCCTTTATTTTCGTTTTGGTATAATCAAGGGGGTTGATCATTCTTTATGTTCAAGGTTTTTTTGGTTTTTATTATAATATTTTTTCTATTAGGGATGATAAATTTTCTTTATTGTCTTTTTTTGGTATATCTTAATTTTTAGAGGGTAATCACATTCTTTTTAATTGTTGCTTTTTGGTATATCGGGGGGAAAAATTGGTGATGATCATGGGGTTCCTTTATTGTTCGTTATGGTAAAATATTTTCAAGAGTTTTTTTAATAAAATTTTCTTTATGTTTTTCGTTTGGTATCATTCTTTAAATGTTCGTTTGGTATATCAAGGGAATGATCATTCTTTTATGTTCGTTTGGTAAATAAAAGGAGGTTAAATAAATTCTTTATGTTCGTTTGGTATACCCAAAGGGTAATCTTCTTTATTTTCGTTTGGTATATCAAGGGGTTTAATCTTTCCCTTTTAAAGGGTTTTTTTGGTTTTGGGGGTATTTTAAGGGGTTTAAAAATTTGTTCTTTATGTTCGTTTGGTAAAAATCAAGGGAAAAATAAATTTTTTAAATTTTTCGTTTGGTATACAAAGGGGTTAAATTTTTTTCTTTATTTTTCTTTTGGGTTTAATATAAAGGGGTTGATCATTCTTTATGTTCTTTTTTGGTAATAATTTTCAGGGGTAATAAAATTTTTTTAAATGTTCTTTTTTGGTATATAAAGGGGTGATCATTTTTTAAATTCTTTTGGTATAATCAAGGGGAAAATCATTTTTTTAATGTTCTTTTTGGTATTAAAGGGGGTAATCTTTCCCTTTAAATTGTTCTTTTGGCCCAAGAAAATAATCATTCTTTATTTTTCGTTTGGAAATTTTGGGGGGTTTGATCATTTTTTAATTTTCTTTTGGGAATAATGGGGGGGGAAAATTTTTTCCCTTTAAATTTTTCTTTTTGGTAATACCCAAGGGGGTGATATTTTTTATTTTTTCTTTGGGGTTTCAAGGGGTAATCATTTTTTTATGTTCGTTTGGTATATCAAGGGGAAATTTTTTTCCCTTTATGTTCGTTTGGAAATATAAAAGGGGTGATCATTTTTTAAAGTTCTTTTGGTAAAAACCAAGCCTTTTGGACCAATTCTTTTAAGTTCGTTTGGAAAGGGGAATTCAAGGGGTAAACTTTAAACGTCTTCTTTGGGGCGGATTGATTTTACAAACAAAAAAGTTTTGAACAAGTAAATCAAGGTGTTACTCCCCCACTGATACAAAATTCATTTTTCGATGTCCCGTAAAAAATTTAAAATAGCCAGATTGTAAAAAATTAAAGTTTTACTAAATCCCTTTAATACCCCTTTAAAAAAAAGGGGTTTAAAAATTTTTGACGGGTCCCATTTTTTAACTTTTATTTTCCCAACTTTTTTTTCTAGTACTTAAAAAAAATTTCAAAAAAAGATTACAAACTTAAACTTAAAATGTTTTCCTACCTCATTTCACATATTATAGCTACTTAAATTGTATTTTTTCCACGCCTTTTTTAAATCTTCAATTTAAAAAATTTCCCAATTTTAAACAAATTATCAGGATAAAAAAGGGTTTAAATAAAAACAAATTTTTGTAAAGGGAAAAATATTTAAATTTTGGGAAAACGGAAAAATATTTCCGTTATAAAAATAAATAAAAATTTTAAATATAAGTGAATATTTATATAAAAATAAAACCCCCCAAGAGACCCAATTTTCGCTCGCATTTTGGGCCCTTTAATTAAAAATTTAAATTGTAGAAAACCGGGGGAAAAAAAAACAAAAAAAAAAAAACCCGGTTCTTTCGCAATAATTTAAACCCATAAAACCCACAAAAGACTTTTTTAGCTCGACTATTCGTAAAAATAAAAAACCTAATGCAGTCACCCTTTTGTGGGTTTTTACCTGTGATTAGTTTGGTGTTGTAAAGCTGTTTCCCCCAATAACACGAAGGGGGAAAAAATTAAAAAATTTTAAACTTTTTTCTCTGTGATTATTAAAATAAATTGGGAAAGTCCCCAAAACTCTGATTTTTTTTTTTGTGCATAAATTTTGCCCCTTTTTTTTGAAAATTATAAATTTTTGGGTTTAAATTTTTTTTCGGGGGGTAACCCCTAACTACTAAAAGGGAAAGGATTGAAAAATTTTACAAGCCCCTTGGTTCTCTGTTGGGGACAAAATCCCCTAAATCTTTATTTTTTTTTTGCATAATTATGCCCTTTTTTTTTCCCAAATTTTAAAAATTTTTGGTTAAAATTTTTGCGGTTTAAATAAAATTTCTAAAGGGAATGGTTAAAAAAAACCCCGTTTTTTTGAAACTAAAAATTGCAAAGTTCAAAAAAAATTCAGATACCTTTATTTTGCAATGCCCGGCTGTTTTTTTAAAAAACACATGCCTTTTAAAAAATTTTGGTATCAATAGGGCAAAGTGTACTATAAGCTTATTGAAACACTCTCGAAACCATTCCTGGATCCAACCAGTACTAAGCAATGAGTGTAAGGTTTTTGGCTCAAGGAAACAACGGCTTTCCCCTAACAGGGTTTGAATCCACGCGGTCAGCAGTTTCTGTGTGTTAGTTGGTATGTCCGTCTGTCTAACATTTGTTGTCAGTGATTAAATAATTTTATGAAAATCATAACGCATGTTCTTTCTGAAATCATAA